AACTCCTAACTGAAGGCCCCTTTGCTTGTTTCAAGAAGAACATCTTCGTCCTTCCTCTTACAATCTCACTCCCAAGAACTCTCCTTCCTTGACTAATTTATTTTCATGATTGTTATTTTGCCATGAATTTGTGATGCTAGGTGAATACTACTGGGCAAAGTTACGCACAGAATCACTCAAGCACCAAAGCAACAGCCATGACAAACCAAAAACCAGTTGATGATATAGGTCCATGTTCCTCTTTCCCCCGCAGGGAAATATGGGGTCAAAAACTAATAAAATTGCTCTCAACGCCTAGGCAGCGGTGTACATGGTGCTGTGACACTTTATTAATAATGATAATTGCCTGAGTGTAGCTAAGGGCCGTTAACCGTCCTCGTTGGGGAAATGAATGCCAATTTTAGAAAAATGGATTCAAAACCTATCCTATTTTGGACCCCATCCGGCCAACGCCAACGGTTCCCCCCGCCCAATCGCAAAGAAAGATTATTTTCGCTGAAATTTTCGATGCTTTCCTAGCTGTTTCCGTGTCCACCACGGCATCACCTCATTTAAATTCTATTGAAAATCTCGGCATATATCAGTGAGATTACTGTTGTTCTGATATATAGATGTATCCCGTGATCTTTTAGAAAACAAAAATGAGACAATTACTGTAGATAGATGCTTTTATCCTCGTTGCGTTCTGATGTACAGAATACTGCCCTAACAAATGCCAAATACCTCTGGGGTCCTTCGGGCTCGAAGGCTGACATATGCAATCAACTGTTGTACTAGAGGGACTGTTTAGTCCTCTTTGATATTGATTCCCATTCCCCACATTAACATAGCATTCTTGGGAAAATAAAGTGACTAAAATGAATGAATATTTGTTTTTTGTTTATGGTTCTCCCTTCGGAGGCAATAATAATAATTTCAGTTTTGTACTCTGTTTTCCCATGACAGTATGAAGTTTGATTGTGGTTTGTATAGGGGCTGCATTATACAAAGATTCTCCTGACACAGAAAGAGCACAGAACGAAATACTCGTCCATGCCCAAGGAGAGACGACAAGTTATCATGGATGCCAAGATATTAATAGCTGAAATATTTCAGAACAGAAACTTGACAGAAATTCATGTTACAGTTGATTGGCCCAATTACAAAAGAAACAGGCAAAACAACATAAGGAGAGAGCAACAGAGACTCATGTGGCTCCCAAACTGTAGCCAGTACGAGAATAACAGTGCAAGAGAAATAAAATCATCATTTAGGTAATAGAATATTACAGCAGAAACTTAGGAATTAGCATCTTTATGCATCAAAGTATGCATTTGGCAAATGGCAATTTCATGTGCAGTGCTTTTGTTGACATGGACAATAAGAACGGGAGAAAGATTTGTTATTGCAGATGCTAGACTATTCTGGTTCCATCAAGCACATCATACAGCTTTCATGTGCTTTACGTAAACTAAGAAAATTACTATCTAACTAATTGATTTCATAATGGACAAAGTTCAGAAGGCCATATCACTCAGAGTGGTGTTCATGACACAAAGTTTCAAAGGCAAAATATATCATCACGGCAGATTTAATTATACAAGTTTTGTACAGAAACCAGTTGTTTATTAACAATAAGAAAATATGCAAGAAATAAAAAGATAAATGGTCATGGCCGGTTGTTCAAATTCAACCTTCTCAAAGGCATTCTATCAAGTTATCAACATTGCTCCCATTGTAAGGTGAAGTGCCAAATTCCATAGTTCTGCAATAGTCAATCTATGATGCACGATCAACAAGCGCTTAAAAGAAGAACTAAGTAGAAAAATCAAGGCTAAAATATTAAAAAGCCCTTGAACTATTCAATTTTTTTTTAAAATAAGCCCTTATACTTTTATTATACATATATAAGCCCATATCCTTTAATTTGTATCCAAATAAGCCCTTACTTTAGGGCTTGTTTAAGTACAAATGAAAGGTTAAGGGCTATTAAGATACAAATTAAAATTTAAGGGTTTATTTAGATGCAAATTAAAGTTTAGGATCTTATTTGAGTATGATAAAAGTATAAAAGCTTATCTAAATAAGGTGGCAAAGTTCATAGGCTTGTTTGTTATTTTTGCCAAAAACCAAAATCTTCCGCATGCATGCACATGAAAAAAGGGAAGATAGTAAAGATGAACAAAAATCATTACTAATTAAAAAAAAGGAAGAGATCTATTCGTTTCAAATAATGTGTAGCTTTAAATCAATTGAACCGTTTCCTCAGTGTTTGCATATGCTTTTATCCTTCTTCAGACGCACAAAAATGGAGCAACACTTAAAAGCAACTCTCTCCTAATTTTAGTTTTCCATAAAACAAAGAAATTCCAAAAGCATAGTGATTTCATCAGCTTGTTACAAGAATATGAACAAGGTTTTAGTTTTTTAGTGCATATGAACAAGGCCAAGAGATGAAGGAAAACTACACTGTGAACCTTGATCCTCCATTGGAGGGATAACAACCACTAGCAAAGCCAGGTCTGCTATTATAAAGATCAAGCATGATCTGAGCTACTTCCTTCAGAAAATAATTAACCGCAGTTTCAACAGATTTCAACCTTTTGACAAACTGCAGGTATTTTAACTCTATTGCTCATTGTAATCCCTCAATTCCAAGTATCACCTAAGCAGAATTCTAGTGTTTCCAGTATGCTAAAATCCCAAATTGATAAATTAGAGCTTCAGTAACCTTACCATGAATAGCCTCGAATATATCTGTCATACTAAGATGGTCTCCACATCAATTACAACCAAGTCTTGTATAGAAACCCAATGAAATATGTAAGGCGCCACCTTCACTGTAAACCAAATCGACCTCCAAGTAGAAAGCACTGTAATGCCACATGCCAAAATTCCTAGCAATGATAAAATGAAGCTAATAAATAAAATCAGAAACCAAGCAATTAGTCATTGTACTTATCCAGTCAAATTAATGAATAGCTACTGACAAAGTATTTCTTTGCAAATTAATCATGTGGAATAGCACTTTATAGGACATCTGAAGCAACTCGACTACCAAGTGCCAACAAACCAAGTTTCTCTGTCCATTAAACTCTAAAAGACACGAAGTCTCTGGACTGGTTCCTACCGTTTGGGGACAAGGGTGGCGACTAGAACTTCCAACATACAGACACACCCCCAGAGAAAAAGGGCGCAGAGCCAGGGAGCCTCCGCAACTATTACATTAGGAAAGTACCAAAAAAAGGGGGAGGGGTGAGGGGAGGAGCGACATGATATCAGTTTAAGCTCTTTAGTTTGATATAAAGGGGGTGAGGAATTTGTCAACATTCTAGGTCCCAAAAAGACAACCTAGTTCTTCTCTTTGCTTCAAACAGGTTTCAAGAACTATAATTTGATTTCTACTTTAACTTTGAAAAGGTGGCAAATAAGATGCTTTACAGGCATACCAGCTTTAGAAAATTTTCAGTTCTCAAAAATTTTTCATTGCAGCTTCTGTTCTTATCTATCATTTTGCTCACACTTTTTAAGACTTAGCAAACCCACCCCGTGCTTATGGCTACCTGCAGCCCTATTAACAACTGCATTACACCCAAGATCAAGTAACAATTGAATCTAAAGAGACAGTATAAAAAAGTCAAGGACATGGTCACAGTAGAGCACCCTTTGAGAGCTCAGTACCATTGTATTTACGAAACATAGAGCAGTAATGTTGCAAATGTGGCACTAGCCCTTGAAACAAATTTCACAAATTCAATCTCATCATTGCGAATTACATTTCAAAATGCTTCGTATGCCTTATCAATCCTTGGGTCTCTTGATAGGGTAGTATTAAATGCATTTTTCCTTTGGAACAGCCAAATCAGGAAACTAGAACCAAAGTCAAACCATCTTTTCAATCTCATGTTTGATTGCAAATTCCCAGGACATTAGACTGATCAACCTCTACAAGATACAAAACTTGACAGTGAACCAAAAACAAAGCAGAAAGAGTTTATCGGCAAAAGGCTGAAATGTCATCACAGTACTTCCCACTCTCCACAAATTAAAACCTTATTCATGGAAAGCCTCTTAGAATTCCTTTTTTTTTTCCCAAATCACAGCGCAGACATGTTGTCTAAAATATCTTCAATAATTATTAATGCATAAACAACTTAATTGACTCTAAAACAAACAAAAATGAAATAAACTTAAAAAAAAGGGAACTTACAACAAAAAAGGCTATCTCCTTTGAACCCTTTGCAATCGCATCTCAATCAATCTAGCATTAAACTCTCCATCACTAACCTTTTAACATCTTCGACAATGGCAACTTAAACCCACGTTCCACCAAAGCTCTATGCCTTGGTTTAATCTTTTTTTCTAAACTAAACGAAAAATATTGAGGGAACTTTTTTAATTCCTCCAAATCACCTTCCATTTACTCCAAGAAGAACTTAACTTTAGGCCTCATATTATTCTCAATACTCAAAGTCAGCAACCCGGGAGACCTCACAACCATCCGGTTCACCTCCGGCTGGCCAAAACCCAGAGATTGAAGGAAGTCAATTTTGGGTTTCAAGGTGTTTTCCACGTTGGAAACTAAGAGAAGGGTAGTATGGGAATTCAAAACAAGCCCAAGGGAAGTGAGGAAATGGAGAGAGGGGCGGAGCCGGGTGGTGACGGGGGAGAGTAAGAGGCGAGGGCAACGGGAGAGGGAAAGAGGGAGGTGGGGGAAAGGGAGAGGGACTTCGTGGAGGAGGAAGTTTATGGGAGGGAGAGGGTCAGAGATAAGTAGCTGAGGGTACGTGTCGAGGATACGGCCAATGGCAGGCCGAGAGAGACCGAACGAAGAGAGGGAGTGTTCGAGGGAAAGGAGAGAGGAAACTGGCGTGGAACGGAGGGAAGGATTTAGGTTGAGAGCTTTTTGGGGGTTGATGTTTAAGGATTGGTGATAGAGGAGCTTTTGGCGGAAGAGGACGCCTCCGTCTTTGGTTGCTTGTTGGGCGGTGGATGGAGGTTTAAGGAGGGGCTGAGGACGGGGTTGGAGTCTGCAAGTTAGCATTTTTTCAGATATCATACGACTTGTTAAGGTCATGCCACGTGGGATGATATTAGTAGTACTTGGTTGTCTGATTATCCCCTATTCTCAAGCTAGTTTCCCACGACCGCTTTTGCCGCTCACCCGGTCGTGTCAATGCAGTCCTATTTCTATGCTCATCATTTCACGCCCCGTTTTCTGTCCTTCTCTCTTTTTTTGTTTTTCTCTCTTAGCTCTTTGTGCCCTTTGCCTTTCGTTCTCTCTTCTTTGGCTGAATAATGAACCTGTCCCCCCATTCCCCCATTTAAAACCTTTAGATTATGCACTTTCAACTCGTCGTTTGATTTTGCTCATTTGGGTATGTCTTGTTTCTTGCGTTTATTCTTATTTTCTTCTCTGCCTCACCGTGGCTTTGATTCTTGCAAATGAACCCAGACAAAAAAAAAAGGAAAAAGACTTGATATTTACATGAATCTTAAAGTGGGTTTTTTTTCTAGTTTCATTTAGTTTGATCATGTTTCTTTCAGCTTCTATAGTAATGTGGTTAGCAAAGTTACATTTTTTTTCTAGAGATTTTGATAACCCCATTTCTAATTGTGCCAGGGAAACTGTTTTTTTGTGCTTGTCACATAAATTTCATTAATCTAAGGATAATAAGGAGTTATTTGGTGAATTCTGCTAGTTTCAATTTTACATGGTGTTGATGAGAATGTGAAAAGTATCTTAAGCCCTTCAACACTCAATTCTGAGTATTTGAATGTGCAGGATGGGAAGGGTTAAGCTAAAGATAAAGAAGTTAGAGAACACAAATGGCCGTCAGGCGACCTATGCCAAAAGGAAGCATGGCATCATGAAAAAGGCTAATGAGCTATCTATCCTTTGTGATGTAGAAATTATCCTCCTTATGTTCTCACCCACTAACAAGCCTTCCGTATGCATTGGGAAGCGCAGGTAGGCCATTCATAATTCTACCTTTTGCATGTAATTCGATTTTTAGTTATGAAATTCTAGGGGCAACTCATACTTAGCTTTAGCTTTAAAAAGGATTGACAAAGAATCAAATTGGGTTAGTATAATGAATGTGGATGAATGTCCATCAATATCCCGAGATAAATTCTCTGATTTGCCGCATGCAAGAGCGATGCCATTTGTGGTAAAGTAATGCAATAAACTACTTGGTAATAAATATCAATGTGTGTGCATGTTAACGGGATGAAACATCCTACCAATTTGCTAATAGGTGAGAGGTTTGTTTCTTCGTTTTGTACTTGCCTTCTTTTTTGGAAAGCGATCTGTCAAGAGTTAGTTGCGTGGTTGAACATTGTCAAAATCAACTAAGATATTGATATATGTTGATGCATTAACAGTTTTCAAGTTCTCTGAATTAGACTTTAGATAGCTTGATAAAATTGGTTACTTAGGCATTGTGCACAGAAGTATTATATGGAACCCCAGGTTGCTGATGGAATGAATGTTGATAATTGCAAAATTTGATACCAAGGAATGCCATATTCAAAAGGGCAGGCAGGTTTTACGTTTTTCTTGCGTTCAATTTGGGAATTTGAATTTGAAAGAAGGGATTTGGATGCTACATTTGGAATAATAGTCAGGCATGTGTAAAACTGTAAATACTAAATATTTGTTACTGTTCTTAAAAAATTGTTCATATGCACTAAAAACTAATTGCTATAACTTAGTTTTGGCTTTGAGAGACCCATGATAGGTGTAAATTATGCTAAGGTGTCTGTGAGATAGTACCAGTGAAGGCAAAGCAGATCCATAATTGGTACTCATATGGAGCAACTTGAGAGATTGCTTCCAATTTGCTTGCACACCAATATTTTGATTCAGTTTTCAAACATAATATTTATTTTCAAAACAGTTTTGGTAGGTTAGATTTATGTAGAAGGTTATTATCTGTAGTAGCAATGTTCATTTTTTTTATTCCGCTGTGTGAATTCAGCAGCATTGAGGACATTATTGAGAAGTTTGCTCAACTCACTCCACAGGAACGGGCAAAAAGGTGCTGTCAAATTTTCTGAGTTGAAAAATCACATTACTGATCATCCTACTTCAAGAGTTTAATGTTATACTTATTTAAGTGAAATTGACTCTCATTTTATTTCTTTTTACTGGAACAGGAAGTTGGAAAGCTTTGAAGTAGGTCGTTTCCTACAGTTCTTTCTCCTTTAGCAATGTGCTATCTTTGTTTTCTTTTATGAAACGTTTTTTGTTTATGAAGTGTCATAATAATTTGTTTTCTCTTTGAGAATCTAGGCACTGAAAAAAACATTCAAGAAGTTGGACCATGATGTAAATATTCATGAATTTTTGGGTACAAGGTACATGACAATCTTCTTGTAGTCACAGCTCCTAGTAAAATTTATTCATTTAATTATATTCTACAAAATATTTCTAATAGGGTTATGACTTTTTCTTTTTCACCAGTACACAAACAATTGAGGTATGTGGGCATGATGACCTGTTACCTTAATCGATTCTGATAATTTAAAATTCTTAGACCATGCCATGCATCATTCTAATTTCTAACATGCATTTTGTATCTCCAAAATTGCTATGGGCAGGACCTGACTAACCAAGCACGGTTATTGCAGACTCGGCTTTCTGATATACACAGGAGACTGAGGTGAAGACATACAATTTTTGAATGTAGAGTTTTAGTTTTGTTTCTTTGTTATTAATATCCTTTAATGCGCTATCTTTGGCCTTAACTTGTACTAAAATATTGGCTACTCAGCTGTTGGACTAACATAGACAAGATCAACAATGTAGAACATTTGGGGCAAATGGAAGATTCACTCAAGGAATATCTAAATCAAATTCGAGCCCATATGGTATGCCGATCATTTCCCCAAGTAGTTAGACCTTTCATAATTAGTGATATGGTGCCCTGCCAGTGGACGTGCTGGAGTTTGCTTAGTTAACCAAGCTTACGTTTACACTGAAGATCTACCTTCCTTTGGCAGGAAAATTTAGGAAAACAGCAGCTTCTATCGTTTGAATGCACAAGTCAGGTAAGAATGTGTGACGGGTTTGTAATATTTTCCTGCTCAGTTCACTCTTTAAAATCACGAGAAAAGTAGTATCTTAACCAGCCTTTTCTTGCAGTTCCAAAATGAAATGCATGTACCCTTTAGAATGGGCATTGAGCAACAGCTCCAACCTCTTGCATGGGTACCTAATAATGACAGTAGACACATGGCCTTATCAGAGGACCCAAATTTGTTTCCCCACAGGTAAGTGGACTTTCTAGAAATCTTAATTCTACTAAATTTTCATTGATCTATATTATTGTGATAATCTTATTTCTAAAAAAATGAAACAGAAAAACCAATCCCTAACTTTGGATTTGTTTTAAATAAATCTTTTGTAAAACATGACATGCATATGTTAAGTATATAATAGAGCATACAAAATGCTCAGTAAATTAGATAGTTTATATTTATTTCTGTTTGTCACACACAAAAATTGATGAAAGTCCCCCCACAATGTATTATGATGTTGATTTGTAATTCCCAGGGATGTGGAGTGTTCTGCAAGTTCCTCCTTTGGAAGTTATTCAGGTTACTTTGGCACTGCTAAAAGTTCTGAACTATCTAGTTCTGGACAAGAAAATAGCATCCTTAATGATTTGGGTGGAAATGCATCATTGCAGCTGCAACTAGGCGGACAATGCCCCTTCTTCTCTTACAATCTTAATATACTGAATGATCCCAAATTCCCACCGGTGGCAGAGATGAACTTTCAGGAAACTCCTGCAGATTATCATGTTAATGGAGCTCTACTCAGTCCTAGAGCTGGATATGACGCTACCCAAGGTAGTTGGGCTTCCACTTCTGGCCCTTGTGCTGTTACCATGTTTGATGAGCCATTGTATTCCCGAGTAAGTCTTTCCCTACTACTTCCACTATGCTTTCAATGCTTGAGCAACATTGCATGTGTTTATCTGCAGCTTCAACGTGATTGAGCTATCCATTGGCTTGTACATGACTAGGTGCATGCACATATATGAGAATGAGTGGAAGAGGCAGAAGGTTTTTTTTTTTTTTGCTGCTTATTAATTGTTAAGTTTTTGCATGATAGTGTCTCATTAGATAAGTTAGCTGGTAATGGCCCACTACAAAGTGAAGATTCATTGCTCATTTTTGTGCTTTTTTTTTTTTCTTCTGCTTCTTTACTTCAACTTTACATCAATTTGGATGCTGCAAAATGGAAAATTTTTGTAGTTTCAGGACATCAACGCACATACCTAGATATGTTTCTTGACATAAATCATGCTAACTTCACCTTCAGTAATTGAAACCTCCTTTTGTTACTCATACATGTATTTATGGTCTGTTACAGCAACTAAACTGAGCTGCAGAAGAGTGAAGCTGCATTCATCCTATACACTGCGCAGGCTATGGAGAACTTGGTAATGTGCATGTGAAATTTACCCAATCCCCGGAAATTGACTAATTATTTCACAATGGTTTCACTGCCATTCGAAACTTGGAATCTGCCAATGAGATGTATGACACGACTACAGAACATAGGAATTGCCTTAATATTAATGAACTGCAGAATCAAGTGGTGCAGACAACCATTAAATGAGGCACCACATTTCTGTTATAATTTCTGTATACTAATCATATTTAGTACTAGGTTTTTCATGACCTATTTTTTGCCTTCACCTTTTGATTACTAGGGATACTAATGGTGGCTACTGCCTCCCCTCCGTCAATTTTAAGCTGTAAACGAAACACATGTAGCAAAAAACATTGCCTGTAAATCATAAAAAAATATAAATTATAGTCATTCTTCAATATCAAAAGCCTTTTATGTTTGTGGGATTTTTATACTCTTTTTCATGATTAATAAGAACATTCCAAGACATTGATTTTTACTCTTGCATTCTCAGTTTCATAAGTATAGCAGAGATCATCTATATTTATGAAAAGTTCACTAGTTATACTGTTCTTGATTATAATTAGACTTAAGATAGAAGCTATGCAATGTTAGATGAAGCATTCTCCTTTATGCAATTCGAAGTTGATACCAGGTGGCATTAACTACTAGCATCTGTGAAGGCATGACAGCAATTTCTGCACTGACTATATTGACATTGACATAAAAATGCATGGTCTGAATGGTTACTTTTTACCAAGAAATGCCGGGCTTCACTCAACACTGTCCTGGAGATTCGGATAGCATTCCCTTTTCTCCACCAAGCCAAGAGATCTCTTCTCATTCATGCATTTTAATCTTCAACAATCCCGGAGAGGACTCATAGCACATGCTGGCAAGGGCATAATCTCGGCTCTGACATGTCCCACTCCTTGATTATTCCCAGGACAAGAAAACCTTGACATGCTAACTACCAGGAAGTGACAAAATATTAGATAAAGCATCTTCACAGCTCAGCTGGATCTTGATATAGTACTGACATTTTGAAGGAAAATGTCATACAGAGTCCATGTTAATGGGCCCAGGTAAATAATTAAACTTCTGATGAATCTCAAGTGTAGTGCAACAGTTGGGGTTCAAGAGAAGGAGATGGAGCTTTTCTTTTGAATCATGAATCATGAAAATGGTGGAAAATTCAATATCCAACCTCATTTCTGGATTTTTAAAATTACATTGTCAGTATATAAAATATAATTATTAGTATTTTTATAGAAGAAATTACAATATTGGTGAAATGTAGGTGAAAATTGGGGAATGGGCTTCAGTAAGAGCCTGATTCGAAGGTCCAATTGCGTGAATTTCTGATAGCAAAACATATTTTGAATCCAAAAAAAAGAAATTTCAAAATTTATCTAAAAAGAAAAAAAAATGTAAAAGTAAAAGGCAAGCATCATCCTTTTTCCTTTGTAATAGGCTAGACAAAGATATGGTATGTCGGGCTTAGCCAATAGAAACTATACACGTAATCAAGCATAATTTGCGGTGACTCACATTGGCTACTGTCCGAAGATCCGCGCCGAACTGCCCATGACTTTGGTAAAGAGAAGACAGAAAACCAAACAGTAGATACTGTCTGAAGGCCACGTAAGCAAGTCTTCGTGAGTTAAGCAAGACTTTCACGTCGCTCGAGACTGCATAGGTCAGCCTTACTGTATGCAGTATGCGCAAAGAGAATTTTATTTATAATCATTATAATATAATTAATTAATTATAATCTAAAATTATATAAATTTATTAAAATTTTATGTAAATTTTATATTTATAAATAGTAAATATTTATTAATAATTTTAAAATTATAATAAAAAATTATAAATCATATGCTTCCCACTGTAATACCCCAAAGAAAAAGTAAGATCCATTAAATCTCTGATATCTACATAATTTTTAAAAAAAATTTATTTTAATTGCCTTTTATATATAACCCTAATAAATTATTGTCCAAATTATTTTAAAATTTTATTTGGAAATTTCGGTTTATTAAAGACATTTATTTACCTGTTCTAAAAATTATATAACATCTAAATTACATACTAATTAATTTAAAACTCAGGGCATAGTAATAAAATAAATAAATAAATAAAGATATTTAAGCGTTTTTTCTTTCATTGTAAGAGTAGATTCTCTTTGTAGGAGTCACGTTATGCAGCAGATTTGAAGGTTGTAATCAAATCTTTTGTGAAAGAGATGTGAGGTAAGGAACAAGCTAGCAAAGAAACACTGACATGAAAATGTTATTTCATTTTTTTCTTTTCATAGTTCAGAAATCTAACTAGCGAAGTCAACTTATATTAAACATTATATTAAACAGGTTTTGATCCGATCTTATTTTAATATCGATTTTTATTTTAAAAATTAAATTTTGAATCAAATCAAATAACAATAAAAAAAAATTTAAGGTTGAATTTTAAACAAATTCGTCCTATTCTAATCTAATATATATATAATTATTTTTAATTATTTATTTATATATTATTTATATTTATATTAAAAAATAATATTTTATATTTTAAAAAATATTTTATTAATTTTGAATTATATTAAATTAGATACGATTTTATATATCGACAAACTAAATCAAATTCAAGTATTAAAATATTAAAAAAAATTATCAAATCAAATTCAAAACAAATAAAAATTCATTTCAACTCTTGCTATCTCTAATCCTATCCCTGCACCCATTGTCAAACAAAGTACAATGTACAAATCCTTTTTTTTTTTTATTATTCGTGAATTTTGTTCACATATTATTTATGTTGCTAGACAAGATAGATATAATTTAGATTTTTCAGGTTTTTCAACTCTAATTTTCACACAAAAGAATGAGATTTTTTCTTTTTCTTTTTTTTTTTTTCTTGTCAGTTGGCATGGAACTAGCCAAGTGGTGGTGTAACTGGGTCTGGGTGTGATGCACAGGAGGCTTGGTGGCTATGCAGCTTGGAACGTAGATTTCTATGTGAGAATTTAATGCATGTCACTTTCCTCAGAACTGCCAAGAATTTAACCAGACAATAGAGGAGACAAAGATTTTGAAACATGTCACGCAAATTTCAATTAGATTTTTATCTAAGCTTTGAATATTTACTGTGTTTTTTAAAAACTATGGCTGTCCAAATTGTGGCTTTAGATGCATTCAAAAGCCATGTCCTGTCCTCGAATTTGAATAACTTTAACTTTTGATATATGAGTTCTTGAAAAATTGCCATTTTTGGTTTAGGCTTTAAGTTTAAGGCACTGAGCTGAACTTGGCTAGTTAGGAGACTCAATTGACATGTGCTGCAGCTGCTAACTGGTGTTGAAAAGTTGGTCTAAATTATGTTAAAAATTTACTAAATGATAAAAGCTCTTAATAATGAATCTTGATTTCATCAATGTTTGCAAAGGGTAAAAGCAGGATTATCAATACTTTTAGCTTTAGGAGTGATTGGCATAATCATGTGGTCTTCTATTTATCAGGAGAAATGAAGAACAGAAATGATAAGCCTCAGAGTTTACTGTCCATTACTAGTGGAAATTGCAAATATGCAATTTACTCTCATACAAATAAAAGCCTAGGACATTTTCAGCTAAAGCTGATAAAAATGACCTTACAGGCCAAGCCAGATGCTTCTCAACATCCCAAGGGAGCGGGTGGTAAAAGTCCACCTCTGCCATCTCCTGCTTCACCAAAAACATAAGGAAAAATGACCCTTAACCCAAAATGATAGAAGGGATCTTTCAAAATGCCCCCCCCCCCCCCCATTTTTGACCCAAAAGGCCCAATGTAGGTCCCCATAAATATAATATAATCTACTAGCCAGGTATGCTAAAAGTCAAATTTTGATGCTTGGTGTGTAGTATTTTTTAATTTAAAAGCATACAACGGTAAAGAGGGAGGAAAAGAAAGTCTTCTTCTAGCGGAATTGGCCTCCAGTGAAGGTCTGCCCAAAGGACCAGCCGGCTGGAGCAACGTTGTAGGATACCACAGTACGGCCATCACTTGTAGTGACCTTAAATGAGAGGCTTTGCCCGTTGAGATAGTTGTTGCTTTGCCAGTTCTGACCCCAGTTCCTAGACATCGGCTGCCAACCGGTCCTGGAACCCTTGATGGCCACAGCATGTACATCACCCGCACCGGCAACGTTGGTGATGAGGACTAGGTTGAAGTAGGAGTGGCCATTGATTGTGAACCTGATGCCTCCCTTTCTTCTGCATGGTATCCTACAAAAACCAAAGCTCCCACCAAAGGTAAGTGATGTTACTAAAAACATTAACTACCTGTTTGTTTTGCAAACACAAACTAACCCTACCCCCTTCATTAGAATAGGGAGAAGAGCAATAGGAGCCCTCATATGCTGTCAAAAATAAGAATTCCATCCTTTTTACAGCAAAGGTCATAAATAGACCTTTTTACTGACTTAAAATGAGGTTTAAGAGAGTAAAAAAGCATTGGACCACCAGATATGGAGAGCAAGGCTTGTTTTTTCCACTGCAGTTAAATTTGAAATCGGTAAGAATTTTGGATAGTGGAGACTCATTCAAAAACTGTTTAGAGATCTAAATAACCCTCTTTAGAGAGCTCATTTAAGGGGGGATAAAGGAAAATAGTGGTAAAATTACTTCAAACTTGACCATATCTCAAGTTTTAGAAAATCGGGAGACTACCAAATTCAACATACCTTCTGTAAGCAACAGGCACAATTCCAGCTCTGTATTGAGCAATGTGTTGGAAGACAGGCTGAGAAAGGTCAAAGTGTTGCAGAGGAGGGTTGCACCAGCCTCCTGCATTGTTAGGGAGAGCATTGTTTGGAGGGCAGAAATTGGTGGCTGTTACCACAATGGAGCCAGGCAGGCACCACTTGCCATCATTCACGCACTTAATCTCATAGCAAGACCCACAGCTCAGCCCATTGTTGAACAAAGCTGTGCTCAAAGCTGCAGTATTTGTCCCGTAACCCTGACTGTACAGGTTTCCATAACCACAAGCTCCTCCTGAAAACAAATTAAAGAATTAGTCAAATGGGGTCCTGCTTAGCTGCTATTGTGCAAAAAAATTGCTTCATTTTTCTTGCATACCCATTGTTCCTGAAGCATCACTCCCACCATAAAATGTAGCATGTGCATTAATCCAGCCACCACCATATCCATGAACAGCTGAGACCATTGCAAGAAAACCCAACACCAAAAACCCAGCAAAAGCCATTTTCCTGGACACAAGTAATTAAACATTAAGCACTAGGCTGAAGCCTCCAAGTATAAAACATAAACTCAAAATGGTAGCATCTATATTTTTTTTTTCCTTCATTGTGTTTTCTTAAATTCATAAGAGTAGTATGCTCAAAATATGAGAGGGAGAAGAAGATCACATGAAGATCAGAAGTGTGAAAATATGAGCTGAGAGAAAAATGTGACGCAGTTGAGTGAAGGTATGGGGAGGGGTGAGGGGGATTTATAGTGTTTTGGGGAGATGGGATGGGAGGCTGGAGACCATAAGGCCACCAATGCACATGCGGGCTAAGAAAGGCTGTGTTTTGCAGCTTGAACCGCGCGGTTTTGTAGCTTTCTGAATGGGGAATTGGCCTAAAATCCAAGTGGGGCACAGCTGTGTTCGCCTTGATGCCTAACAAACTTCTTAGCCGCAAAGCGCAAATACACCCTTTTCTCCCTTTGTCCTCTCTCTGCCCTCTGCTGCTGTGTTTTGCCCCCTTTTTTCCTCCCTTTCTCTCTCTCTCTCTCTCTCTCCAGTCTCTATCTCTCTTTCACTATCAAAGTTTCATTCATTTCATTTCTTTCATTTTCCCCATTTTACAGGTTGGATTTTCATTTTATTAACTGGTCCTTCCACAGCCCATGCTTCATTTGTAAAACATCTAAATTCCACAGCAAAAGGGACAGATTTTTTTTTTCTTTTCTTGTTCTTGAAAATCGGTGCTGTTGATGGTACTGACTGTGGCCAATTTTTTTCTGATATACCAATTTAAGTAGATTTATTGACTTCGAATTTTCTCTTCTGTTTTCCAAAGTGATGCATGAATCAAGCCAGCTAGCGGATCATTAGACAAACCATGATCTTATTACAAGACACGATCTTGCATGCTGACAAATTAAGGATAAACCTGGATTGTTCTTAATTGGCTGGCGAAAGAAAAGGACCGTGATTCTCGGCATATTAATGAATCAAATCAGACTTAAATTAAGAGCCAACTGGTGGAAGTATCAAGGATAAGCTGTCGTGCCTTGACTTAACTGGAATCTCCATGGTTTAACATAACATTTTTTTTTTCACTCATTGCTAAATTTGTTTGGTTTATTCTATGGTTTTTTCTTCTTGTTCTTTTTCCGTGAAAATGAAATGGACAGTATCTTAAAAGTGAATAAATCTGGGGTAGTTTCGGGTTGTTGGAACTAATACCGTATATAGGTATTAGAATTGAAATGGAGTTCTTTATTTGAATTCATGGCCATTACTATTGTTTGCAATTTTCTTGAGAGATTGGAAGTCAAAATTTCAATAAATGGACTGATGAGATCTTGCAAAACAAGCACAGAATTAGTTTAGTTGGTAAGGGAGGAGTACCCTATTAAGGATGGTAAATATATCCAAATTCGTCTGCTTTTCACCCTTTTTGATTTTATAAGATAGGTTTTTGTTTTTGAAAATTAAATTTCAAATGGTGTCAAATCAATTTTTTTAAGAAAAAAAAATTGAGATTGAATTGGAGTATGTAAATTCGTTTCATTTCGATTCAATTTAATATATATATATTTATTATTTATTTAATTTTATATTTATATATATTATTAATAAAATTATTATATAATATTTTTAATTTAAAATATTATATTTATGTATAATTAAAATATAATTTATATTAAAAACAATATTTTTATGATTATTATATTAGATTAAATTTATTAAATTAATTTTTAATCAAATTAAATCAATTATAATTTTATACATATGTGGATCGAATATAAAAATAATATTTTAATTTTAAAGCTTGATATTTATTTTATAAAATCGAATCGAAATCGAAATAAATAACAATTCACTCCATCCCAACTTGTTACAATTCCCATTTTTTATTTTATTAATTTGAGTTTGATTTTTGTGAAAAATATTTCAAAACTAAATTCTTAAATATATCATATTGATTTAAAAAATTATATTTTTTAAATCATCAAAAAATTGAATTAAATCTGGACAAAACTAATAGCCTCTAAAATAATAAGAACATCAATTGTACCCAAGTCTTGAAAAGTTTTTCATAACTTTTGTTACTTATGACAGTGGCATTCATCTTGTCTCGCAAGGCAATTATTAGCCTGAAATTTAAATTCAAAATGGATGTAAACTGAAACAATAATTACATAGTAAATCATGGTTTAACGATTATAATCAATCAATTATTGGTTCTTTAACCTTTTTCTTTTGGCTTCCTTCAATTTACTTGAAATGGAACTACTCTTTGACTAGCATAGCAATAATCCCTAGTTGAAAAACACTCACCTAACTTTATAGTATCATATCATCGTATTTTAAAATAAGATAAAATTATAAAATTATAATTTAATCCTAAATATATTAAATAATATTTTTAAAAAATAATTATAAAAATTAAATGAATTAAGTTTTAAGTTCGAAATTTATTTATTTTTAAACATTATTGATTATTGAGTTGTTAGAATCCAAAAAGAGATGCAAGTCCCAATTGTAGCCAAGCAAAGGATTAGGCATATTAGTCATTTTGAGTTGAACGGTTTTAATCAAATTGAATTGAATTTAATTTTTTTAAATAATATATGATATTATAAAAATTTAAAAAATTTGATTTAATTTTTCATATTATTCGATCTGATTCAATTCAAATTAAATTTTATCAATTGATTGATTTTGTTTTTTAATTTTTAATTGTTTTTTATTTTTACATATTATTTGAATATTAATTTTAATATATTTAAATAAACTGTAAATATAAAATAATTATTTTAATTATACAAAAATCTAAAAAATTTAATTTGGTTCGATTTTTTTTAGTTTTTATTTTTTTAATTCAAAATTTAATCTGAATATAATATATATTTAATATTCAAATTTAATTTAAACTGATAAATGATCGATTAAACTAAACCAAATGCTGAAATCTTAAACCAATTTTTAATTTTTTCAATTTTTTTCTCTTTCTCGTTTTAGAAATGGATAACAACATATCCTCATGGAACTTTAACTACCAATAACCAACTTGTCGTTTGGACACGTCAAAGGGTCCGACATTCTTGTCATCTCAAACTATTATTTTTTTCTCTTTTTTGTTGTTTTGTCTGAAGCTTTTAAGATTTGATCTAGACCGCTCATCTCCCATTTATCTTTACTAGATTTGTTTTTTTTTTTTTTCTTCACCCATTTCATTGATGCATAGGCTTCACTGGCCAGCCCTACTGCCCAAATTTAGGATTTTTATACTCTGCAACCAAAGTCAAGTGGAAAAATCATGGCAATTTTTGACTACCAAGCTAACAATGTTTTTTTTTTTTTTTCCTGATTATTGGCAGGTAAGCTAATGTTTTGTTTATAATCCATGTAGGCATAAACAGTCAGAACCTTTTATTATAAGTTTTATTTTATTTTATTAGCATATATATTTACCACCAAAATTTACAATTAAATTAAATTCAATAATTCCAAATATATATATTTTTTAGTTTTTTCTCATGTACTTTTAATTTTTTCAAAAGGGAATGATTTATCACATATTTTTCAAAATATTAAAATCTCATATTTCATAAAAATTGAATAAATTAAATTCGAAATTTAATTTAATTTTTGTTTGGAAACAACAAATTATTCGCCTGCTTAATCATGTTTAATTGTGACTTTAAGCTCATATCGCATCAAATCTTCTTAGTTGGAGAATTGAAAAAAAAAAAAATCAAATCTTCTTAAACAAAATGTCTTATTCCTTCATTTTATTTCTTTGTTTGTCTTTATCTTTCTGCCTGTCTCTTCAACCCCATGTGGAATGTAGTTATAGTGATCATCATACATGCCTATTTATATCATATCACATCAACTCTTCTTAGTTGGAGAATTGAAAAAAAAAAAATCAAATCTTCTTAAACAAAATGTCTTATTCCTTCATTTTATTTCTTTGTTTGCCTTTATCTTTCTGCCCGTCTCTTCAACCCCATGTGGAATGTCGTTATAGTGATCATCATACATGCCTAATCATATCATATTATGACTCTAAACCCACAAAATAACAAATTCAAATTAAAGGAAAAAAAACGAATTTGGGGTTCATTGTTAGCGCTGTCCTTTTCACTCGATGATTTAATTTTTTTGCGACAGAGAATAAAGTTTTAGAATTGTTTATGGAAGAAATGGAATCCCGCCATGAAAAAAGCTAAGAAGAAGAGGACAAGAACCCACCCGCCTATTTTTGCCAACAGCTTTTCACTGAGCGTGAAGCTCAATCTCCTACCACCAAAATATAAAAAAAGCATTTCGTAATTTTAAAAATAATATAATATAAAAATAATTTATAATGGATCATATATATTTTTATTCATATTTTGTATATTAATCATATTATATATTTAAAACATGACGTTACATATGTCATGTTTTATATTTTATACATTTAATATATAATTAATTAATCATATTTTATTCATATTAATATATATAAATAATACGTTTATAACATTTATATAATTGTGTTTTAATATTTTTATTATATTATCATTTTAATTTAATATTAAATTATTGATTTGATAATTTAATATTAATTATGTTGTGCCATGTTATTTACTCTTAAAATAAATTAAAACATGTTAATAATATTTAATTATATATAATATATATAATAAATATATCATATTTACATTATTTAAATGTTTATATCATATCAAAATTATTTATATTATATTTAAAATTATACCTAATACGAAATACAGTACTATTATTAGAATTCCCACGTCTATAAGCCATGCTGACCTGTTGAGCAGCCCACAAATTTAGCATGCTGATAGAAATAGTAAAAGCTGAATAATTCTGTCATACAATTCCCAAGTTATTGGAGAGCATCAGGCACTCGCTCGGAGAGGGCGTGGAAAGGGGTGATTCATGTCCGTAATCAATGGAGTTTTTGCCAGGAAAAGAGTGAGTTTGAATCTTTTGGACTAGATATGCTACTCCATTGTCTTTGAACTCTTTTAACTGCCTTAAAAGGGTAGCTAACCTAACTACCCTTTACCAAGTGCTCTAAAAGCATTTCCAACCACCCAGTGGATTCGGTGAAGAACACGTCGAAAGCCTCTGTTCTGTCATGATTAGGTTAAGCTTTAGAGGGTTCCAAATATTTTAAGTAGATTTGTGTTTATGGTTCAATGAGGACCGTCTGATAATTGAGGCCATCATTGTACAACCCTTTGATTACTTGTGGAGAATGTGGAGCTATTTCAGAGAATGTGCCTGCCGACACCAATGCTGCTGAAAGATTTTCCATGGAACTTTTTTTCCCTCTCCAACTGTTTCTTTGTCCCATTGCAGCATTTGATTTTAAAATTTATCCCTTGAGCTGATTCAAATTCTGGTTTATCATCAAGTTTTTTCCAAAAAAAATTTTTTTTTTGATTCATCAAATATTATTATTATATAATGTTTTATTTCCTCCAAGTTATGAGAAAAGGTGATGTTGCGGACCATCTGCAATGTAGTACTGTAACAGAGACTGGCCCATGTTATTTTGAGTCCCATTTCGTGATGAGTTGGGTTGAATTTTTGGTGCCCATCTCAGTTGCTTCAGCCTGAGGGTTAGCCGGAATTTTTCTCCATGACTCAGCTCACAAAAATGGTCCAACGCTATCTCTGACTAGACTTCAGCCATGTTAGAAAGAGAAAGTGCTAAAACTAAATGCCTACCACCATGGAATAGAAAGCTTTATATAGCAAAAGTAATTAATGGCAGTCATGGTTTTGTAAAGCACAAAAAGTTCTTCAAAACAAGCAAAACCCACTTCAATAGTTCAGTTTTAACAACCCTAATCTGCACTGTCAATGCCCTTAGATATAAATGCATGCTGGGACTACTCCCATAAAAGAAGCAATGTATCTGTTAGTATAACAGAAAGCTTAGCTATGCTGCCAATGAATAAAACCTGTTTTATTACTTTGCTTAGGAACAGTCCCACGTGTAACATGTTTGAGCTGCTTTAAATTTTTTATTTTTTGTTCTGATTAGGACTTCACTTCCTTGTGTGTTTTCTGATCATGGGAAGCATTCGATATGGACCCTCCATCACATGGTTTTACTTTAGAATCATGGCCTAAATTTGAGCTTTCTTCTACTATTAATCTTTTTATTTATTTATTTATTTTGGATATGGAGGAAGCCAATTTGAATTCAAACTTCGTATTGGATATGTTATGACTTATCAGGTTCATTTGGGTATAGCCAAAAGCTGATCCTATGTTTCTTCAGCCAATCTGAAGAAATTCTGCTCTTTGACTCATAAATATGCCTTTCCCGCCTTTGAAGATAACTAAGAACATGTTTATTTTTTATTTTTTGTTCTGATTAGGACTTCACTTCCTTGTGTGTTTTCTGATCATGGGAAGCATTCGATATGGACCCTCCATCACATGGTTTTACTTTAGAATCATGGCCTAAATTTGAGCTTTCTTCTACTATTAATCTTTTTATTTATTTATTTATTTTGGATATGGAGGAAGCCAATTTGAATTCAAACTTCGTATTGGATATGTTATGACTTATCAGGTTCATTTGGGTATAGCCAAAAGCTGATCCCATGTTTCTTCAGCCAATCTGAAGAAATTCTGCTCTGACTCATAAATATGCCTTTCCCGCCTTTGAAGATAACTAAGAACATGTTTATTTTGGAGCTACCCACCCTGTCTCACCTTTCTTACACTTCCGGAATACTTCAAAACCATACAAACATGAACGCAGTTGAATTGGTGAATGGAATTCATTTGGTTCAAACAATCCATAACTTTGCCTAACTCGCTTATTAAGAAAAAACATGCACCAAATTCATCACCATGTCCATATCACCTCTTTTTCACCGTTAACAGTAACTAACACAACCAGAAAAAAAGGCACATATAAATTGACATTTTGGATTGATATTTCTCAATTGTTGTGATGAGTATTCCATATCACATGCAAATATCCAAATAAGCGTGCAAGTTTTTGACATATATGTCTTAACTCCTTTTTTCTTCATCCTGGTTACCGGTATGATTCGATTCCAGGAGTAGGATTTTGTGTTATTTTGCCAAATTGAAAGAAAATGACAATGGGTTTGAACATGGCTAAGATGGCTAGTGGGAAGGGAACCCTAGTCATGATCCAACCGGCCCCTATTGAAAAGATTGGTCATGGCCATGAAAAGGAATGACAAACATAAAAACCAACCATGAAGGATCCGGGTTCTGTCATCTTGTGCTAGCAATGTGCAATTGTCCCGGGCAATACCAACAGACCACATGAAAGATGGTTCGTAAGAATAGGCCTGACTCAAGTGTAACATTCACGATAGACCACAGTAAAATTTTCAATGGCTAACGTGAACCCTTCGCTGCAATCTTTGCAACAGATTACATCTTAGCCTTTTTGTTTGTACTTTTTATACAAGAGATATATATGATTTACCAATCATATGAATTTTCTTTAAAAAGCACTCAAAGATTAGTGGGAATGATAATGCCTTTAAGTCAAATGAACACTCCAATTTGGCACTTTAAAGAGTGGATCATCAGGGAGTTAAGACCAATCAAAAGCTGCAATTTATGTTGAAGTTGCTGATAAGCAAGCATAACTTCATTGATAACTTGATCAACTTCTGGTTTTAATTGCATGCTACTCCATAAATATGTGGACTTATTAATGAGCAGGGAGCATTGTACAAGGAGGCCATGCTTAGCTCCAAACTTGCAAACCCTGCTGTAGATATATACTTCCCGGTTTCTCTGGTAAGGTGACATCCATCAGCCACTGTCTGTTGCAATGGATCAAGAACACTCTGCCAGAACTTTAGAATTGTTCCATCTGTAATATCATCAGAATAACAGCAATTGCAACAAGAATGACAAAGCATGTCCAACTACATTTATTAGATCTGATCAACTATTTGCTGTATTTTGTGTCATGAGATTCAGCTTAATACCTTTGGCAGCCACATGTTCGACAAACAGGAAAAGCCCTCCAGGTTTCAACACCCTCTTCACCTCTGAATAAAGTGATAAAAGTCAAAAAAATCTTTGGAATTTTCTAATTACTGTAGATCAAAAGAAAAGCTAATATTGAAATGATTCAGGCAGTGGAATACAACAATTCATGCATGAGCTAAAAACTAGTTTGGCAATGAACAAAGCAATAAGGAGGACTTGGATGAAGAACTTGGAAACACATGGAGAAGAAAGCATATATAATCATTTGAATTTAGATTGGACACTGGCTTATTGAGAGAGTACAACTGAGAGTGCACCTGAAGACACCATAACTAATTTTCTGGAAACAGTATAGGAAACTATTATTTATTGACAGAAAGGAGTTCAATTGTTTTTTTTTTTTTTTTTTTTCATGTACAAATCCTTGAAGAATCTCCCAGTCAAAAAGGCTCCTAATGAGAAGGATAGAATTCCTGACAGAAACGGCTAAGGAAATATTTTTCACTAAATACCAGCTGGGAAAATTCATACTGGCAAAGCTTAGATGAAGACAAAGCCTAAAGTGCTAAACTACCTTTCAGTGCCATATTAACATCTTTAACAGAACATAATACAAGTGTTCCAACAACTGCATCAACAGAATCATCATCTAGTGGAACAGCCTCTGCAACCTGGATAAATGCAACACCCCCAGAATTCAGAAAAAAGAACAATTTTTTTTTTGTTCTAATACAAATAAAGCATAATAATTGTGAAGAAAGTGAAAATAAACATGAAATTCTCTCATACTAGAATAATGATTCAAAATCTGGTATTATAAATAGGTGGTGGAGGACTAAGATTACAACTAGCACATCAGTGGCAACTTCATAACTCAGTTGATAATGTTGATGGATAAAAACAAACATCCTACAGATGCATCAATAGTGTAAGTCTTCTGTTATTGATCTCAATGCTGCAACATAAACCAGGGAAAATTGTCTCCCCTGCTTTTCAAAATGAAAGAAGGTTCAAGAAGTCCTTTTGTAGGGCAGAAAAAGGTTCAAGAAGTTAAAGCTCAGATATGTATTTCTTAATTTGAAATATATGCATAGCATTGGGGTTATAAGGGAGGCAGGGAGTGATCCTGATAACTTCAGGTACCTAACAAAATGTGCTTCTTATGGATAAGAAAGCTATCAAGTTTAAATTCCTAATATTTCCTGCATTTTCTTTCATTAGTTCATTAGTCTATATTTACATAAAATGCTTTTTTTTTTCTAATCTCTTAATTGCATGAAAGATATTAAAGAAGTCAAGTCCTCCATCTATAGCCTTTAATGAAGTTCCAATGTTATTTTCTTTTGTCCCCCACACACTGCAATGAATACTGCAAGAACCAATATCTCATTACTTCTGCCATTAATTACAGGCACAGCTGCTTCTGAACTCAGATAAATTGTGTCACTACCACTAATTCAAAAACCTAGTTGTTTGATATAGCAATCATAAAATAAATTTCAGAAACAAGTGGGACATGGAACATGTACATACAGCTTCTATGAATTGAAAATTCTTTGATGGTAAACCAACCGCTGCTGCTGCTGCTCGAGCATACTTCTCCATCTTCTTGTTAGGATCCACACCAAAAACTTGGACCTCACTATTATCAGCATAGTATTCAAGATTAGGGCCTGTGCCAATGCCAATCTCCAGTATCCTTTTGGCCTTTCCCCTTAGTTTCTCAAAAAGCTGTGACTTGTAGCCTGCAATCTTCACATTTAACAGAAGGTTGTCACTATAACTCATAACACTTCCCATCAAAATCTTAAGATGAAAGAGTTGCTAATTCAATCAACCAACTAACTAACCTCAGCCTCATAAGATTTCATGCTTGTGTCCATAAATGAGGCATAGAACTCCTCGTACCAATCCGGCCTAGGAGAGTGAATCTTTTTCATCAAATCCTGCACATGAAAAATTTCCCTGTTAAACACCCTAAAACAAGAACGGACTAGTTGTATATGCTTTGAGAGATGAAGATATGTACCAAGTAATCATCAGAGTGTAAGCTGGAGGCATTGGAGGGGCAAATTGGAAGAAAAGCTGCAGTGGCAGCTTCAATGAAATGCCTTCTTCCACAGGAACAGAATCTGGGGATAACTGATGGCTGTTTGTTGGGAACTGCAGCAAGTGAGCTGTTCTTTTGGGTTGTTTTTAAGGAGGCAAGAGACAGAAGCTGGGATGTAGGAGATTGATGGAGGAGCAGAGCAATTTTTAACATTGTTTTTTGGGGTGTCAGTGACAGTGGTTTCAGACTTTCAGTTGGGTGTTCGTCAAAGATATTTTAAATTATTTTTTTAATCTAAAAATAAATAAAATAAAAAATAATCAAAATTCAATTTTATTTTACCCTTGTAAACGGTGCCGTTTCAAGTGCTGTCACGGCTCGAACCCTAAAAAGTAAAAGCAGGCAAAAAATCAAAAAATTTTCCACCAGCCAAAGATATTTTCTCAAACGAAAGATACTATCTTTCTCCGTAATTTTTCTTCCCTTTTTCAATTTCTCTCTTTTCTTGTTCTTACTATTGGATCTGTTCATGATTTTGAATTGTTACTTGTTCGTTCAATTTTTTATGTCTGTTTTGTCAGGAAATTAGTCAAAATATATTTTTTTTTCTGAATCCAAGTTTTGGTTTTGGTATGCTGCAGTTAATTTAAGTTGTTAAAAGATCGAGACTTTTGAACCAAGGCCATTGTTTCTGTTATGGCTGGTCAAAGAAATGATTATGGAAAAAGATCCCATTTTCAATCTGATTATGGAAATGGAGGAGGAGGGGGTAAAAGAAGGAATTCTGGTGATGAAAGTGAACAGCATGGGATTGGGTCTGAAGATACCGTTTACCGTTACTTATGTCATGTGAAAAGGATTGGGAGCGTTATAGGGAGAGGTGGTGAGATTGTGAAACAGTTAAGGTCAGATAGTCAGTCAAACATTAGGATTAGTGAAGCTATGCCGGGTTGTGAGGAGAGGGTTGTTATGATTTATAGTTCCAGTGAGGAAACGAAGCCGTTTGGTGATGGTGGCGACGAGCTTGTTTCGCCTGCTCAGGATGCTTTGTTTAGGGTACACGATAGGGTTGTTGCGGAAGAGTTGCCTGCTGGTGAGGAAACACAAGTGGTTACTGTGAGGATGCTTGTGGCGTCTGATCAGATTGGTTGTGTTATTGGGAAAGGTGGTCAAGTGATTCAGAATATAAGGAGCGAAACACATGCTCAGATTCGGGTTTTAAGTAATGAGCATTTACCTCTATGCGCTTTGAGCTCTGATGAGCTTCTTCAGGTAAAATTGTTTTGTTATGTGAAAATATATACTATGTATTATGCCTTTATTTTAATAAATAAGAGGAAGAAACGCCGGTTTAATTTAATATAATCTACAATAATCTCTTGTAGATTTAATTTCTTAATGTACTTCAATACTTAACCAAATCATAGAGATGTATTTGAATATGAGAAGTGTTTGAGTGGAAACTCCATTATGAGTAAATGAAACATCTGGAAGTTCGTTTTTGTAAACCGCTTTTATTCCTTAGTGTTGCAAAGTTGAGAGGAAATGGTGTGAAGCAGTATCTTGGTGACAGTCTGCACCTGCAATTTCAACTTTTCTTCACATAAATGGGAAGAGTTTTTTATTCCAAAGTTTGAGGTCTTCTGTTATTAACAGCTGGAATTTGAAGATCTATTGATTGTATCTTGGTAACACCTGTGCTTGTTAAAATTGCCATGGTTTTAAAAATTGGTGGGTTCTGTCTCTAGCCAGAAAAAATCTGTTGATTAATCTTCGTGAATTTGTCCTCATAGTGTATGGTGACATCATTACACGTGCTTGTGTGAGTTGCCTGCATATTAGAGGATTTTGGTTCATCTCGTTTTACTTGTTATATGTTCATTCAGTTTCTCTGTGGGGATTTCAGATAATTGGAGAGCCCTCAGTAGTGAGAAAAGCTCTTTATCATGTGGCATCTTGTCTTCATGACAATCCTTCAAGATCCCAGCATCTGCTTCTCTCATCTCTATCTAACATGAATCAACCTGGTGGGATGTACATGAATGCTTCCCTGATTGGTTCTTATGGCAACTACTCTTCTAGAAGAGATGATGCTTCTGCAAGGGAATTTTCTCTTCGTTTGGTATGCCCAGTTGGAAATATTGGAGGTGTGATTGGAAAAGGTGGTGGTATCATCAAACAGATTAGACAGGAGTCTGGGGCATCTATTAAAGTTGATAGTTCTGGAGCCGAAGGAGATGATTGCATTATATTCATATCAACAAAGGAGGTAAGAATACATTCATTTTTAAAACTATCTACATTCATTGTGGAATTTATGATGGAGAAATTTTGATGTCATGCCAAATTATTTATATCTCTGCAGTTTTTTGAAGACCCTTCCCCTACCATCAATGCTGCTTTGCGCTTGCAATCACGATGCAGTGAAAAATTAGAAAGAGAATCAGGTGATTCTGTAATCACCACCCGTCTACTTGTTCCAAGCTCACAGGTTGGATGCCTTATCGGTAAAGGTGGGGCAATAATATCTGAGATGAGGAATGCTACTAGGGCTAGTATTCGCATACTTTCAAAGGAAAACCTTCCCAAAGTTGCACATGAAGATGAAGAGATGGTGCAGGTGAATAAATATATTCTTTGGTGTGCACACTTCCTTTTATTGTTCACTGAATATCTTATCGGACCTTTTCAACATGATGGAAATTTTATCTATTAATGCTGTACAGATTACTGGAGGTCTTGATGTTGCGAGCAATGCCCTTTCACAAGTAATGGTGCGGTTGAGAGCCAATATATTTGAAAGGGAGGGAGCAGCAGTGTTTTTGCCTGTCCTTCCCTACATTCCTAGGTCATTAGACATGTCAGATGGTTCAAAATATGGGAACAAATATGGTCAACCACGCAATCGTGGACACACTTCTGCTTCAGGGGAATATAGCTCTGGTGATTTGTCTGCAAGCGACAGTTATGGAACATATAGTGGTTTACTTGTAAGCTTGTCTTTTCATTCGTTTACTCTGTTAACATTGCCTCACAAAGATGCATAAGCTTATTATTATTGGGATTCATCTGATTATTTTGTCTGGGTGCTTTTTAAAGTGCAGTATCTGCATGTGAGAACGATCCATCCATTGCATATTTCTGATGGCCTGCATGCATAGTTTCTATCTCACCTGCTATTGTCCTTCCTCTGAATGTTTAATGTTATCATTTTTCAGAGTGGAGGTGACATCTATGGATCTCATGGTGGTCGCAATTCTGGCCGGGGGTAATGCTTACCTATCTAGTTAGACATTTTTTTGTCACCTTTGATTGTTCTTTGGTATCAGTTGTAACTACCTGGCCTGATTTTTGTCTCTTTGACCAGATTGTCCAATCAGAACCCGGTTTCGCATAAGAAGCATGGATATTAGTCCCAGATTCTAGACTCCACAGGTAAATATGTGTCTTATTTCATTCACATACTTTGGGTATTGATAAGCAAGTGTTTTTGATAGTTTGAGTGAAGAAAATATGCAGAATGATATCTTAAACCCTGCCAGTCATCCTCCGCCAAGGATTCCAATGCACCTTCCCCCCTTGTTGCCTTTTCTCCCCTATCTAAACAGTTGTCATCAACAAATGTAGAAGCCAGATCTTTGCCCCTTTCGCTGAAGCTAGCCTAGATCGGAAGACCAGACAAATTGGATTTGAGAAACTTTTGTTCCACTTTGGCTCACCCTTGCTCTTGTCCTGGGTGACCAAGATCATTTGATGATGCAAATCACCATTCAGTCATTTTTGGCCTGGACTTCATGATTTTTAGGCTCTGTAACATGTTTGAAATAACTTGCTTTCCATGTATCCATAATTTTTGGGCACTTTGGCTCATAAAGTGATTTTTTATGTTTTATAGTCGAAAAGGTAGCATCTGCTTGTTTAGACTTTTTTTATGTATCCATGTGGTCTGAAAGCTGCATCAGATAGGAAAGTTTAAGTTGCCATAATCCTACGTATAATGTAAATGTAGCATTATATATGTTGGATGGGTGTAAATGTCATCATATTCTGGTTTCTTTATAATATTTCACATGTAGCTCAAATGGTTGGTGTATTTCTGGAGTTTGCAGGGTAATGGTCCCTTTTCATCTCTTGAAGAAGAGAGGTCATGTGTCCTTTGAACAAATTGCGTTAAAAAGTTATTCCTTAATTGCATGATCTGAGATTTGAGCTTGCATAAAATGAGTTGGTCATGATATAAGAGTGTTATGAACTTGCAGTTCACTTAAAGTCAGAAATATTTGGTTATGGTATGTGTTCAGGTTAGTTTTGGAGGCTGTGTTGTGAAGAGAAAGTTAGAAAGGGAGACAAGGTTAACCTGAACTGGAATCAATTGAAGGGGTAGGTTTATTATTGGTATTGCTTCCCCATTCTTTTATTTCATCTTATGGTAAGCAACTTTAGTTCTTTGTGCTACTTTGGCAGGTGATTTATATCGACTTCCTTGGCATTGGGAGCAGGTAAGCTGTTGTAATAACTGGTAAGTGACTTCTGTAGTCAATTGCAATCTGGTTGTGCTTGTGATATATGCTAAATAGAGTCAGGCCAATATAATAGAACCATAAAGATGAAGTATGAATTTGAAATGAAAAAATCATAGTTATTTTTAATCTAAAAAATTTAGAACAAATTATTGAAAAAGGTAATTGAATAATCTTTCCCTAATTTTCTTTTAAAATCGATGAAAAATTGGAGCTGTCTGTGCCACAATGGTAGCATACACAGCTTTAGTTTCTAAGACAACAGTCAGCTAGTGATTTAAGGGAAATGGTTGCATCAACTAGGGAGTTTCCAATGATCCTTGGCAGCCCAAAAATTCTAAAAAGGATACTAATAATAATGATACTTTGAGACCTGATGATTTGTTTGGATGTTGAATATTACAATTCCAGGGGCCATATGTGTTAACTTAATACTCCTAGCCAAGTCTCCTCCCAACCTTGTCTCTCTTCATCACAACAACACATGCTCGAGAGAAAGTTGTTGACTAGATCCTTATCATTAGTGCTTTGATACGGATTAATGCTGTCTTTAAATTACAATCTCTTCATGTGTGGTATATCCCTCCCCCACATAAACTGGCTCGTGTGGAGGTTCATAGATTCATGTAGGCATGGACTTGTATGAATGTATATGCATGGTTATCCCCCATTTAGATGGGAGTTTTATAGCGACCATTAGAACACTTTATACAGTAGTGAGAATGATCTGAAAGCCTTTTAATTCTTCTCGAGTCCTTGTTTAGAGCTCTCATTTATGGTGCCAGAACTGTAACTGAAATGAGAATTAATAGAAATAGCTTCGTTTTTTAAACCTTATGCATATACCTTACTCTCTTAAGGGGACTGATTGTTGACAGGCTTCTCAAGTTGGAATTATTGGCACTTGTGCAAAGTGTCTTTGTGCATTCACAATTTTGGTATTCTTTTTTCACAGTGCATAGCTGTAAAAGTTTAAAAAAAAAAAAAGGAAAAAAAAAAAGAAGATTCCATATGAGTTACAGTGTTGAAGGTCAGATTGAAGCCAGAGTTCTCACTTGTGATCATCAATCAATATTGGAGCATGAATTACTAATTAAATTTGGTGAAGGGAATCAAAATATGAACTAAATCCCATTAAATTTCAAGCATATCTGCCAGTTTTTGTTACACTATAAAATCAACAAATCCCATGTTATAAATTTTAACAAACAAATTACTGGCTGAGTTTCTTTGGTATGTACATAATATATTTCTGCCAAACTGCCAAGTAAAAGTATAAAATGATTACGTGATGAAAGAACCGAAGCTTAACGGAAGACTGAGGGGTTCGATTGAAAAAAGACAGGCTTTCAATCTCCTAACCATATCACCAAGAAGAAGCCCGAAAAGTACGCATGGAACGTGTCTTTCAAGGCGTGGTAGGGGTCAGTCTGGGGATATTGCTTGTTTTGGGTTGGGTTAGAATCTGAACAGGTTTGAAACATGGCCTCAAATACTGTTAAATGATTTTGGGTGTTGTTTTTTCTTGAGTGATCTGAGTTTGATCATGGTTAATTTTATGAAAAATGAAATGTTCTACTTGTTGCTCTCTCGAGGTTGTGATCATCAAGCTTTGGCGAAAATCTCTCATTAATTGAAAAAAAAATTGAATTTGACATTGTATTGAATTAAAAGTAATCAGGTAAAAGTATCCAAGATGTTGAATTTGAATACTTTAGCAAAGTGGTGTGAATTGTTGCAAGTTGAATTAGAACGGGTGGTGAGGTGTCGAAGTCTTGTAAGAGAAGTGGGGGTCATGAACCTGAAAAGACGCAGGAAAAAGGGATGGGCGGTGGCCTGATGGGTGGTGGCCTGGTGGGCTGCTTTCAGAAGAATGTTCATTGGGATTTAGGATTGAAATTGTTTGACAAATGCCATCCTCAGCCCATATCACCCCCATAACAACCATAGTCAAAGATCACAAGGTCTCCAATGTACCAATGTCCCATTCCTATTACATCGTAAAAAGAATCAACTCCCCCTCCCTATGTCCCATTCCTTCTTATAACTCGGCAAAAGAACTATTTTATGATGAGCATGAGATTATTTTGGACAATGAAAACACTATTTTTAGCACAAAAACATTTCCTTGATGATTTTTCAAACAAGCTGTCAATTTGGTAGTATTGGATAGGCATCAAAAGACTTGGTTTGAAAGGTTTTGGCAGCTCGAAATATTCCTTGTGCATTGACATAGAACAGCATTGACACTCTCACAAGCGCATAGTTTGACCATATATTCCTATCCTAGCCAAGTGTTTCAATTTGGATAAACTCTGCAAAAGGTGGATCAGCTCCTAATCTCTTATCCTAAACTCGAAGTTGGAAAGCGATAAGGTTTTGTTTCCAAAACAATCTCAAATAAACTGGTCGAGGGTGTGAGTAGGATTGCAGATTGCAAAATATATGCTTTGTTGTAACTTGTAAATCAAGATCCATCATCAGAAACATAAATATTTGAACCTAAAAAGTAATCACAAACAGAAATAGGGCAATGGAAACATGGCAATCTATAAGATACTCTTGGCTTATTAGGTGATTGAAAATAAAATTTAGGGCTTGACTATGCCGACTTCAGTACCATGCAGTTGTCACATTCACTCCCTCAAGGCCTGCAAGTAAATGTTTCAACCTCATTCTTGGTTTTATGGCATCCATTGTTTTTCAAACTCCCCTCTCTGCAAAATACACCATCAAACCTCCATTTGCATTGGTCCTGAAGTAAACAACAAGCTCTCTCATGGGAACAGCACTTGTTCTTTCAGCAGAACAAAGCTAAAACTTGTAGCTTTGTTTTGTTGCCTAAAGCATAATCTGATGGATCAATGCCGGATTTCTTCATCTAAGGTCTAGCATGTGTAAACGAGGTAAGTAGTGCAGCCAAGGATGACTTGCCGGCTAGGCTCTCTCTTCCATATATCATAGCCAACTTTTTTCATTTTTGGAACATCTGGACTAATGTCTAAAAGACTCTTTTATCATCAAATTGTCATGTTAATTTTTTATTGCCAAAGATTTTAACTGTTCATTGGAATACTGTTGGGAAACTAATTAATCAAGATATAAATGAAGCAAACTTTGGTGGAGATAACATCTGGCAAGTTGTCTTTGGCTACAATTCTGTCTCATTTTCACATGTTAGATCTATGCTGATCATAATAGAACTGGAAATGCTGAAGATGGAGCACTTTCACTTGACAGTAATGGAGGAGGTTCAAGCCATATGTGGCAGGGCAGTATGAAGTAAGTTCCCATTCTCTAAGATTAGAGGTTAGGTTCTGCAATTTGTAAAATGTTTCTGCTTATTGCATTCATTGAATCAAAGGTGCCAATGATTAATCCTTCAATAGGAAACATGATTTACATTTCCTCTGTGGAATTGCAGTGTTAGAATTAAAACCAAGGCTCAAGCTGCAGAGCCTTAATTTGGCCCTTACAAACCCATTCGATTCTAAGTGTATGGAAGGGAAGAGGCACATAATCCAAAGAGATCAGTATTTTCCTTCTATACAAGGAATCATTTAATCAAATCATGCCCCACCCTATCTTTTTTTATTAATGCTGATACAGCTCGGACATATCATTCTCACTCACCTTATTGTTCTTTGGAACGGGAACAACGCAATTTGCTAGGCTAAAGGGGTCATTGGCTTGAAACAGATTATAGCTTACTGTATGGAAGCTCATGCCACAAACCGAAAGAGGTTTGCTAGAAGCCTGAGTGGCATGACCCTTTTTAGTAGGAATGCCCTTATCATCAATCTGCCAAAAATGTTTTGAAATGCTTGGGATCTCTGGAAAAAAATGTTGAATCTCTATTGTAAGAGTTGCTGTAGCACATTATGACTGTGATTACGAACGTTTAGGCTTGAAGTCAAAAGATGAACCCAAATAATGCACAAGCAAAATACTCTTGGTTTTGAAAATTATTGCTGGACTTGTTTCCAAATTTGCTTTAACACGTTGCAGTACTGATTTTTCCAATGCTATGAGAAGAAGGGAAAAGCTGACTGCTTGCATATGCAATTACATTTCTAAGTTTAGCTGGCTAGCTACATGCACGAGTTAATTGCATAAATTCAAATCAGAAAATAATCACCATAAGCGCGAATAAATGGGAAATTTCAGGTCTCTTTGATACTGCAATATCATATCAGAGCAGTCAATAATGATGACTGCAAGTACTTTTAGACAAGAACTGCATATGTAATCCTATCGCGATAACATTGATTAAACTAATTAAATGTGTGTTTCTCTGATCTCTCCTTCATGTTGTGCAAATCACTTCTCCTTAAGCCCTTAGCAGAACCTGAAAACCCGTAAGGCCGTAACTCTAGCATCATTATGCCTCCTTCGTAGACTGTAGTTGATGTCGGTTCCCACAGATCAGACACGGCAGTATATAGGACTTAGGAGGAACTTGTTTCCAACAACAACAGTCAAATAGCAAAGCACTATGTGCTGCTCATGGTATGCAACTGTCCAAATAATTTTACTTTGTCTTTCATACACGCAAGTTTGAGGCAAGTAAGAGCAGGTAGGAATAGGATTTAAGAAATTAATGATTCATAATGCAACCTATCATAAAAGGACATGTGACATGTTACAGAAGCAAATGCCAATTGTCTTAAGCTCAGCAAATTAACCTAATTCCCACTTTGATTGATTTTTACTGGTGGAGTCTAAGAGAAAATCCAGGTTTGCTTTGGCTTTGAAATTTGTATAAATGTACATATCTTTCACACTGCTCTGTCTAGCAATTAGTTTCATTAAAAATTATTCTAAACCTTGGAGTTCAAAAGAAGGAAAAATTTGCAGCAACAGAATGAAGACAGGACCACTTGAGCCTGGTGAAGCATCCAACGAGGCAACCAAAGCAAAATTGAGGATCAGTGGGGTTGCTATACTAGAATTCATACTAAGAATCCTTGCCGCTGCAGGAACACTAGGGAGTGCTATGGCCATGGGGACTGCTGAAGAAACAGTTCCACTATTCTCTCAATCCATCCTATTAAATGCCGAGTATAATGATCTTCCCATGTTCACGTGAGTTATTAACACCATGATGTGCCCTTTATGACCATGGTATTTGAATTCAATTTCAATGTAAAAGAAAATTACCTAATTTACTTACTTGACATGTCTATACTTTAACAGGTTCTTTGTGATCGCCAATTCAGTTGCCTGTGCCTATCTTGTGCTTTCTCTTCCCCTATCTTTCTACCATGTTATCAGGAGAGCAGCCAAAAACAGCCGAATCATCTTGGTCATGTTTGACACGGTGAAGATGATAGTGAATTAAATTAGCATTATTTGGGGGCATCATAGTTATTTCTGTGCTAAAAATAGGCAAAAGCAAAGCATATGGTTGAACTAAGCTAATAGTTACTCTGCTCCTCAAGTGATGAAAATCTTCTGAAAATTAGGAGAAAACTCCATTTCATTTCATTGTTTTTCACTGTTCAACCTGAACAACATGCACTAGTCATCAGAAGCTACTATTCCTTAAGATGTTCGAAAGGCACAGAAAGCAAATGCTCAGAGCAATTTCTTTTTTTGATTTGTGAATTCAACATAGAAAATTTCAAATTTCTACTAAGGAGTATAAAGCAAAAGTAAAATAACCATATATGTGTACTTGAGGGATCTAACTTTAAATTGAAACACATGTAATCTATTGTACAGGCAATGCTGGCCCTGGTCACTTCTGGAGCTTCTACTGCTGCAGCCATTGTGTATTTAGCACACAAGGGGAACGCTGATGCCAATTGGTTTTCAATTTGCCAACAATTGAACTCCTTCTGCGAGCGCACTTCTGGATCATTGATTGGCTCTTTTGCTGCAGCATTTGTGCTGATACTGATAATCATTTCATCAGCCATTGCTATCTCCCAATGCTGAAATTCCACTCAACAGTGAGGAGTGCATCTGTATGTATTTGGTGGCTTGAGTCTGTATTTATCTTGCTCTTCTAGGAGCAGGTTTTACGCTTTTATTTTGTTATGGAGTTGTATGTTCTGATCAGTTGGGTTTCTTTAGAACATTGCCTACTTTTCAAACTAGTTTGCAAAAATCTATAAATTTCAGATCAGATCATAAGAAATAGCGCAGCAATCCTCAGTACTCTATAGCTTCAGTCTTTCTCTTATAATTGTATGAACAACAGCTGCAAAAGAATAAATACATTTACTAAAAGTTGAACATTTCTTGATCATCGTATATGTGTTGATTGAAACTCAACATTCCTGATCTTACTGCGAATCACAAGTGTGGTCACATGGAAGCAACTTGCCAATTGCTCATATATCTCCATCAGGCACCGATGCCTTTGTACTACCCCAATATTGCCACAAGATCATCTATGGATTTCAATGTCTTCTCGTAGTACAGGTATGATTCGTATACTTTTGGTGTGCGCACGTAATAATCAAGCTAGGAAAATTAAGAAAAACAATACCCATTAATTATAGAGAAAATGGTTATAGCACAGTTTACTAGCTATGAACGTACCTCAACCATGTTGTCCACCAATTCATTGGCTGTCTTCACATATACTTCCTTTCGGCCTTGGGGCAACGTACTCATAGCATTCTTCAAATCCTGAGAAAGATAAGCCTGCTTTAGTCGAATGTAAAACATGACATACCTCCATGACATGTTCTCCAACATGTCTCTCATACTATGTAACCCCTCAGCAGTTTGCTTAATTCTTGCTGCAGAATCTGCCGGCGACAAACTGGGCTCGAAAAACCGTTCCCAAAGAAATGAACGTGTGCCCCAATTCTCTGCTACTGCAACTGGGGTGCCATGCAGCCCTAGTGCTGCTAGTGAAGTAGCCAGAAATGTTGTTACAAGTTTTCTCCGGTTGGTGATCACATCATTTTCTTGAGGTGGAAAAGATGCTCGGATTATGGGGACGGAGAGACTGTTGCAATGGTGATTTTGGCGTGTGGTGAAGTTCTTGGTGACATGGAAGAGAGGCGATGAATATGTGAAGTTGCTCATGGTTTTTGGATAAAGTGATATGGAAGAGTTGAAGAAGTGAGAGTTAGATTTTGGGGCAGGTTTTTGTGCTGACCGAGTTGACTCTTGACCCAACATGGACCATAGCTTGTTAGGACGTGACACTCCCTATCGTGTTAGAAGTGACCAGATAAAAAAGACTCAAACACAGTGAGTGGGCTTTCTTGTTTGGTCATTTTAACCTTAAATTTAGTTGGTCTGGATATGGGCCTCCACTCTCGAAATTGAGGCTTACTCTCTTGTTTGACAGTAAGCTGCATGAACAAAATCTTTCTTTTCTATTCTTAAATTCTATGAACACAAGTTAACACCTTTGACTAAGTTAAACAAAATTTAAGACCTTTTACTATAAAAAAAATTTGAACAAGAAGTCCTCGAATTTGACCTTGACATCCAGTAGCCTGCAAGTCACCAGAAAAAAATAACCAACGAATTAGCCACCATGTTGCAGCATAAACTTACAGCATTCTTTGATAGATTTGAGAACTTCCGTTCATCATAGATGAATTCAATGTAATGAAACTAAAATTTCCCACAGTACTAGTTCAATCTGCTTTTTCCCAGTTATTCAAAGATGAAGATCTAATGCATTATACCTGAAATGCAGTGAACTTCAATGGAGATGCATTTTGGAAGTAACACTCTTTGAGCCTTCTCTCAGGCCTGAATGAAGCTGCAACAATACTCCTTCCAGCCCATCAAGTATGGAACATGAGAAACCATGCCTAGTGCTTTTACTTTGGTGCCTGTCATCCTCCAACATGCCCTTGGGGTCTGTAATCATCCACCTATGTTTAGTTCTACGTTGAGAGCATTTAGTGCTAAAAAAGGCGTAATAGTTTTTTTTTTTAAATGTTAGAAGTCTTTCGGTAGATAATTAAAAATAATTTTGATATTTATATCGATATAATATGTTAAATCGATTTGATATATTTAATGTTATATCAATTTGATTTTTTTATTATCTTTTTTAATAATTACTCATTGTTTTTCTATAAATATAAAAATCAAAATATCATTAAGATAAATTCATTCTGCTTTTATTTTTCTTTCAATCTCATCTATTTTTATTTATACATCGTAAAATAAATGCAAAAAATATTTCTTACTTTTAATTTTAATTGTCATTTTTTTAATTTTTTAAAAAATACTTTGAGATTAGAGCTCGACTCAAACATTATCAACCCATAAATAATTAAAGAGATCTGCTTTCTCTCGGTCACAATTTGTGAAGCATTTTAAGAGTTGAGATTGAAGAACTACCCTAGTTTAGACCACCATGGCTCCTTTAAAAGCCCTTGCAACTTTTCGTGTTTGCCAACTGAATTGGAGACAATAATTCAGGGTCTTCGATCGAGTGATTCCCGACGCAACCTTTTTCTTAAAAAATCAGTTTACCTTGCTAGTTTTTCAAGATTCCCGAGTTTCTTTTTTATCTGCTTTTCTTCTCCTTATGACATTGTGTGTGGAGTGCGAAGTCATCAATAACTAATTTAATGCTCTTGCCAAGTAGAACTTCGGAGCCCACATTGAGAAATCTTTTCAATTTCCACAGTGGGTCAATGAAGCCAAGTGTCACAATGATGTTTGCTGTATCAAATGCCTGAGCAAAGACGTTATCTGGTAAACTGGGAGACTGAGTTCCAATTTCTACATCAAACCCCACTTTGCAAATGGAGTCTAAAGTCATCCTCGTGAACAAGTCGTCAACTTTTCAGCTCCATCTAGACTTAGATATGACAAAACTAACAATAAACAAAAGGTGTCATTTGTCAAGTATATGAAAAGAAAACCATGGCATTTTGTTTCCATAATCTTGTTCATACTATGGAGATTACAACAAATAAATGATTATGTAACATAATTTAAATAGACGTGATATATACAATATAATTGTTTCATATAATAATTTTATTGCTTTTTTTATAATTTATCATTTACATTGAAAATTTCATCTTCAAGCAATCATATAAGAATGATACGGTTATTATTTTAATTTAAGAAACTTGGACTTTGATCTTTATATCTATTAACCAATCTATAGAGAGAATATTGCAGTCCAACAACAATGGAAAATGAACTATTTGTTGAATAATGGGAGATTTACCTTGGGGCAATTGGCAAAGTTAGCCTTTAAGTACATGTTCAACATTAGCAGGATCGGCAATGTAAGTACAAGTGTGAATGGCATAGGAACTACCACAGTTTTTGATTCGGACAGGTATCTGACAAGCCAATCGTACATTCAATCATAGTTCATTAATTGTTTGATCGCTGCTCCAATGAGTGGCCACGTTTTCGGGCCTTTGTTGTTCCTGTGATTCCATCTGTGGAAGAAGATCCAAAATCATGCAAGCTAGCATCAATATTCCCATGATGCATCCGTCGGGGGAAGAAACAAGTGAAAAAATATTGTTTTCTACTTCCATTTTAGGTTAAAATGAATAGAAATTGAATGTAATTTGTTGATGGAATTAAGATATCCTCAATTTTATATTGAAAGAATGTATAATTATGATATTATATATATGTAGAGATATAAATTTAAAACTTGTTAAATATTTTTTTATGAGATAAAATAATAAAATATTTGGATTAAAACAAATAATATTTTTCAAATTGAATGTGAATTTTTTACATTAAAATAGATAATATATCATAAGTCAAATATGAATCTTCACCAAAAAATTTTACAAAAATGTAGATAAATTATAAAGCTCATTAATTAACTACTACTTTATAACATTAAAAAATGTTTCACATCTTTTGCATCCTTAGCCTTAATTTAACCAAATTATTTCTTTTAAGTTTTTTTTTTAAATTATTTTTGTCTCTAATATCATTTAGAAATGTTCATGAATCAAGATAAATCAAATCCTGTTATCTATCCAAAATTCGTTTTAATTTGATTTGGTGAATCAAGTTTATGAGATTAAAAGTTTTCAAAATATATATTAAAGTATTAATAAATTAATAAATATTAAATTTTAAAATATATTTTTAATAAATTTAAATTAAAAATATTTTTTATTAATAATTTAATATCTAGGATACCCAAACTTAAAAATCCCTATTCAAAGCCCTACCCATACACAAGTGTTGTATTATCAAAGTTATTATTATTTTTTTTAAGAAATCAAAGTCATTCTTTTGTAAGCTTTTCATCGAAGTTATTTGGACGTTTATACTTTATATCGTAAAAAATAAACATGCACCTTTAAAGTCGTTGTTTTCGGCATTAAGTTTCAATCATCTTCGGGCTGAGAGCCATAAGAACCCAAATGAACGGACCTGATTGAGGCCCATGAAAGCCGAGCACAATGACATGGGGCTGAGCTTTATTAAAACCTCCATTTTTTTTCTAAGCCCGCCGTCAATGACACTGACAGCTTCGTATCCAATGAACCAATGAAACTGAACCAAAAATTTTGGTGCTAAACCTCTTCAAGTCATCCTTAAGTCACACGCCCCTTGCCCCACCCTTTCTCAGTTCTTCTCCCTCATGCATTAGGGTTTTTCAATTTCTTTTTCCATAATTTTCAAGAACCCGTCTCCGCTGGTCTTTTCAGTAATTCCCCATTATCTTTTCCATTTTGGGTTTTAATTATTTTTTAATTTATTTATCCGATTTTCATTAAAAAGAATCTGGGTTTCTGGCTTCAGCACTTATATTTAAAAAAACGAAATAAAGATTGATTTTTTCTTGTTTGATTGACATTGTTTTGTATGTTGTTTTCTCCATTATCTTTTCCATTTTGGGTTTTAATTTTTTAATTTATTTAACCGATTTTCATTAAAATCTATTTGGGTTTTTGGTTTCAGCTCTTATATTTCAAAAAAAGAAATAAAGATTGAAAATTTTCTTGTTTGATTGACATTGTTTTGTATGTTGATTAATGCAGGTTTAATTTATTTTAATGTATTCGTCCAGAGGGACGAATGCCTACGGGCAACAATCCTACGGTGGCCAATCCGGATACGCCCAAAATGTGAGTCTTTTTTGGTTTTTTCACAATACTTGTGTTAAAGATGCTTGATTTTTCTTTTTTCAAGCTCCTTTTTCTGTGATTAGTTTCTAATTTATGTATTATGGTGGGATTGAAAGTTGTCTGAATTCCTGGGATTTGCTATTTTCCCTGGCTATAACATTTTCACATTTACACATGCGCTATAATTCAAGACTTATCAGGGGTCTGGTTTTGTTCACAATTTTCTGTATATTTTGTAGTTAGGGGGTGGTTATTCTGGTAGTTCTGTTGGAGGACCTGAAGGGGGAGCTCAAATGTCCTTGTCTTCTCGGCATTCATCAATTCTAGGTAGTTCTCAAGAAGCAGAAGTTGGTGGGTACAGAGCCCTTCCTTCAGTTTCTGTTCATTATGGGGGGCAGTATAGCTCCATATATGGCACAGCTGCTCTGAGTGCTAGTCAGCAGGTTGGTGGAATCTGGTTTCTTTTCCTATGTGTTTGTTTTGGTAATTTTATATTATTTCATCTTGCTGTAACTCTTCAGTTTCTCTTTAATAGTTATGCCTTATCATAGATATTTGGGGACCCGGGTCGGTTTCAACTATTGTGTGCTGTTTTTTTTTTCTCCCACGGGAGTTTATGATATGTACAATATTATTAAATTTGCTAATGGACAATATTATTAAATTTTATTGATCAAATTTTGGATTTGGCGAATTTTTATTTGTACTAGGTTCCTGCAGTAAGTTCCAAAGGGGCTGGAGCTTCAACTTTGGAATCTCGTAGTACTTATGCCTCAGCTATGCCAGATTCACCTAAATTTGCATCCTCTGACTATGTTTCATCATCAAGTCACAGTTATAGTCACAAAGGTGATCAAATGTATGCAGAAAAGATTCCTGACTATCCTACAGTGGAGAGAAGACAATATGGAGAACGACAGGGTGGTTATATGGGGAGGGAATTGCCGAGTGAGCCAACTGGAAGATATTCTGATTCTGCTATTTTTGCTCATCAGCATCAGGTCTAGCAATTTCATGATGTTTCTTCTATTAGCGTCTTTTGCTTTTTTTTTTCTTTTTTCATGCTCTTTCATGGTCTGAATATAAATATGCTCCACCCTTGTCCATCTTGTTCTCTCTGTCGGTTTTGATCTTTAATATTTACTATCTTGTTCAACAGCCTGAGCTATATGATCGTCTTGATCAAGCTGTCTTGCTTCGACAAGAACAATTACTCAAAGCTCAACCAGCCTCTCTTGATAGTAGTTTGAGGTATTTTTATTTTGATGAAATATTTAATGTACAATTTTCAATTGAGGATGTTTGTGCTTAATAGCTACAGTTCTTCACTTAATAGACATTCCCTCATAAATATATGGCCAAGGTCAACCTTCTCATCCTTCATGGTGATAGTCTGTTGGCTGCTTGTTAGATGGTAATATATTGCTTAATAGACTGAGTAGCAACACATTTCTGGCAGACAAGCTGATTATCTTGCAGCAAGGAGTGCTACTAGTCGTCATTCCACCCAAGATCTTATGCCTTACAGAGGAAGAATAGATGCTGATCCCTGCAGTTTGTCATTGCTTAGTTCTTCTTCTTCTTATGGTGGACAGCCTCCATCGATATTAGGGGCGGCACCAAGGAGAAACATGGATGATCTCATGTATCCACCTAGTTCTGCAAATCCTGGTTATGGAGTGAGCCTACCGCCTGGTAGAGATTATGGAACAAAGGGACTTCATGTTACATCCCTCGAGTCTGAATATCCTGGTAGTATATTGTCACGCAGTGGTCATCCTAGGGTTGATGAACGCAAGGATGACAGGGCTGGTTATCTTAGGGAGTTTGAGCTGAGAGAGGAGGAGCGTCGTCGGGAGCATTTGCGTGAAAGAGAGAAAGACAAAGAGAGGGAAAGGGAGCGGGAACGAGAACGACTACGAGAACGAGAAAGAGAACGTGAACGTTTGCGCATCTTGGAGCGACGGGAGAAGGAGAGAGAACGAGAGCGCAAGCGTGCACTTGAAGTTACACGTGAAAGAACTCCACCTAGAGTTTCTAGGGACCATCGTGGTCCCTCGTTGACAAAAGAGGCAAGACCTATGAGGCGAGACTCCCCACGTCGTGAAGCTTCCCATAGGTTTATCTTGATGTTTTACTTTCCATCCTGCTCTAGTTCTGAATGTTTAGCTCCTTGTGTTTCTCACAGTCTTCATAACTAACTTGGTCTTCTGTATTGCTGAAGGCGTCTTTCACCTGTTAAAGAAAAAAGGAGAGAATATGTCTGCAAGGTAAAAGGACAATGCAAGAGCTTCCCGTTCGAAGATAATTTGAACTTATTCAAGAATTTGCTTTTTTCCTTTCGAAATCTGATTTGCATCTTAAATCTTCCTGTTATCACTCTTTCTTGGGCCTTCAATTTCTGTTGCTTCCTGTTCGTATTTGGCCCATGGTGTGCAGGGCTAGTTGCTGGGTTTTCCATAACGTAGAGAATTCTTCATATATTTATAAGTGTTGCTCACTTATTTTGAGTTTATTGTGTTAACCTTACCTTTTATCCTTTGTTCCTGGGGCACCTTTTTCTGATATTTCACTTTGATTGGTTTCAATTTGCTCCTTTCATCCCCTCATTTCTTTGGATGGTTTCTTTTTCCCTCATCCTCTCACCCTTTTCCTTATTGAGCAATCTATATTCCTTTTATGAAGACTATTTCAAAACTTTCATAGCTTCCTTGTTTTATATTTGCTGACTCCTCTAAGCTGTGGTGGTTCGTTGCAACTTCTAGTTGTTCCAATTGATGAAAATTTTCCTGTATTCTAGAGAATTTATTGAACTTATCTGAGTTGGAGACCTTTTTCAATATATTTTCCTGTAATATGGACATCTATTTTCTGTATGTGCATGTCATTTGAAATTTTTTTAATCCTTTCAGCAATATCTTGCTTACTTGCAGGTATATTCATCCACCTTGGTAGATGTAGAGAGAGATTATCTGTCAATTGATAAGCGATATCCCAGACTTTTTGTATCTCCCGAATTTTCTAAGGTCTTTCTCTCTTTCTCTCAAAATTCAGTGATGCACTAAATTTGTATTTTTAGATATTTGTTTTGACCTAACATCTTTGACTGTTGTAGGTTGTTATAAACTGGCCAAAGGAGAACCTCAAGCTCTCTATGCATACTCCTGTCAGGTATTCTTCCTGGATGTCTTTGTTACTTGAATAGGTTTGGACATCTCAACTAACATTGAACTTCTTGGTTTGTTGTCTTTTTATTGGCTAAAGAGTAAAGACTGAAGTGGTCTTGCCATCATGGTTTTAGATATTTTATCTGTGAACTGTCACTTTATTAATCAATTAATTATTTTTTTGGATGTGAAATTGCTAATGCATTGTTTTCATGAAGCTTGGACTTCTGTCTGGGGAATAACAAAACAATTGAGACAAACATTAGTTGTTGAAACTTTAGTAGTTGTGGGATCCAAATCAACGTCCATCCCAATTTCATTTACTCCCCCTCATTTCTCCTTCTTCAACTTTGATGAACTAAACAATTTTGCATCTTATGTTTTTATGAAACTGTAATAATTTAGTTTCTGTTGAGTGGAGCAGCTTTGAGCATGATTTCATTGAAGAAGATAGTTTAGCTGAACCAAAAGAACCTTCCAGCAAGCTTTTGTCTGTGGGACCTGAAAAGTCTGAACAAGGAAGTACAGTGTGGAATGCAAAGGTGGGTCATTTGTAAATGTAGCATCTGATGACATAAGCTATAGTTGTATCTATAATATTTTTATTTTTTCTTTTATCCTTTTGTGGGAAGCTAGTTTTTATCAAATGTGAATTTGTTATTTCATTTTTTTTCTGCATTATGGGTTTTGTCATTAGTCATCAGAACATAATATCTGAATGATGTAGAATTGAGTTCTTGTTGACTAAAGCATTTAAACTTTGAATGTCTGCTTTGGTTTTAATGGAATTTCTATTGCACTAGTGGTTTTAAGAGCCAAACTTTGTTGATATAATGGACTATTTTGGATCAGCCTTCACTGAAATAATGGTATTTCTTGTTTGGATGACAACTGAGGACTATGCTTCCAGCAGTGCATACCTTATAAACTCTACTCTTTTGGTTGAACTGGCATTATAATAACTTGTACTTCTGTGTCATTCCTTATGTCACAAAGCACCCGTGTAAGGTGTTTTCTTGTTTGTATGATCTAGGAGACTAAAACATAGAATTTAGTTTCCTAACAGTTTCCTTTTATATATATTCTTATTTACACAGTTATGATTAATCAAAGCCTTGAGGGGTTTATATAGGTTGACATGCTAAAGGATGATCTAGTCTTGCACTTATTTTGTTAATTTGTTGGGAAATTTATTTGAACATGCTGAAGTGCTGACAAGAAGATTAGTGCATTTTGTTAATGTTCATATTTGGAAGGAAGAAAATTCTGTCTTGTTGTCAAATTCTATTGTATCATATTTAGGCATTTATGACTAATAGATAAAACCTGTAGAAGCATGAACTACATGGTGGTTTTAGTAAGCTTTGTATTACTTTGAAGTTTCCTTTGTACAATTCGTTTGTAATAATTCATGGATGATTTAAGCTCTATCAAGTGCTTGTCTCTTTTGGCTTTCTTTGATAGGAATATTGAAGATTCCATTTCAAAGATAATTTTAATCGTGTTTGAGTAATGTATGTTTGTGACTTTGTTCAGATGATTTTGATGAGTGGATTAAGCAGGAGTGCTTGGGAAGAGCTGTCATCTGAAAAAATCCCTGATGACCGCATACCTCATATTTGCAATATTCTAAGGTTTGCTGTTCTTAAAAAGGATCATTCTTTCATGGCAATTGGTGGACCTTGGATTTCTGCTGATGGCAGCAATCCTTCTGATGACGATTCCTCTCTAATTCAAACAGCCCTTAGGTTTGTCCTGTCTGCTTGTAGTAGAATGCTATTCATAAGCTGATTAATTTCTCACCTGGGGAGTTATTTTACTTGAGCAGGTATGCAAAGGATGTAGTGAGTCTTGATTTGCAGAACTGTCAGCATTGGAATCGTTTCCTTGAGGTATTATCTAATTGTCCCTGGAAACCTTGTGTGATTTTGCTTAGAAGCTGCAATTCTGCTGATAAAAATTTTATGCTTTGTATTTAAATCTTTTATTCGAAATTAGTCTGCAGGATCCTTCTCATTTAGTTTATTTTTTTGTATCTATTGCTCAGGCTTAATTGTAAGGTTGATTCTATTGTACTTGAAATCCCTTTTAACTTGTTATTTCTCGGCATCCATGATCAAACCTTTTATTGGATTATGTATTTATTATTTTTGGTCATTGTGTAGACCAGACACTCACGACCATCTAGGATGGCAAATCTTTTGGTGGTTTTCATCTTGAAATTAATTTGGAGAAATCACTTGCTTTCATCCTATCACGTTTCATTTTCCCAAGAGCTTGATTCCATAGGCCTTCACTAGGAAAGAAAGATTAAGGTGCCATGGGCACTTAAAGGTTCTGTTTAGGATCTAGTATATTTAATCTTGGCAACTATATATGCTGGTAATATTGCAGCCAGAACATAGGGAAATATTCTAAAATTTAGTAGGCTGAAAGTGTAGAATTGTGCAAAACTTATCTGGTTGCAACCTGGCACTCTAGCGGGTGGCAAGAATTCATCATCACATTCTTTATGAGAGAGCTTAGTTGTATTGAATTTTCTTCTTGCAGTATCTTAAGTTGAAATATTGTTTCTTGAACATGTTTCTTGATGACAAGAATCTAGTTTTGATTTTTGATCTCTCGTTGTCATTTGCAGATACATTATGACAGAGTTGGCAAGGATGGACTGTTTAGCCATAAAGAGGTCACCGTATTGTTTGTTCCAGATTTATCTGAATGCCTTCCTTCATTTGATACATGGCGAACCAAATGGCTAGCTCATAGGAAAGTTGTTTCTGAGAGAGAGCACCAGCTTTCTTTGAAAAGAGAGGTATTATTCTATTTTGTTCTTCCTGCCTTTTCTGTTAGGTTTCCTGATCCTCAATTTAATGTCAGAAGAAATGCATATATATATATATATATATGCATAGGCTGTATAAAGAAGATGCATATGCTTAGTGTATGCATGTGAAGTGTGAACATATATACCTGTGATGTATAAGCAGACACATTGACCCACACATCAACCAACGACAAACTGGAAGTATTAGTAGATTGCAAAATGCCAAAATCTTTAGTGGATTTTGCTTTACTTAAATGCCTGTCATACATGCTGAATGTCATCATGATCTATAAATTTGTGTCTAAGTTCTAAAGATTTTGGACAAACAATGGCTTGGAGCATTGTGTGCAAGGTAGCTGTCAATTCCCAAACAACTTGATATTGGTTTTGGGTTAAGATGGATATGTGGGTGACTCTTAGTTTCTTATTTCTTTCCCTATAAGTTTTTGTAATAAAATAAGGAATATTGAAGGTGTTACTAGTGGTAAATTTGTTTTCTTTCAGAAATCGAGGGAGAGGAAAGAAGGATCAAAAGGTGAGTTGATTATTACAAATTTCATCTTCTCCATTTGCTTACATATTTTGTATGGGCATGTCCAATTATGAAATTGGATCAATAGCTTCTTTCCTTTACTTCAATTTTTCATTTATGTTGGCTAGACAATGAAGTCGATTCTACGAAACAAACTGAAAGAGGCAAATCAGAAAAAAGGAGTCAGTCTGTGTCCTCTAGTCATGGAGTATTTGCTAACAAAAGGGAGAAAGATGGCAACTGTATTGAAGGAGATGCAGCTGAAGGAAAGGTTAGTGGGGGTGAAGATAAAGTTCAGGTAAAAGATGGCACTGAAATAACAGTGGGAGGAGGTCCTGAGAAAAAAGAAAGTGGAGAAGCTGCTGCTGCTGCTGCTAAGACAGTTGCTGTGAAGTCAGGGAAGAAAAAGATTATAAAGAGGATTGTCAAACAGAAGGTTGCTAATAAGACAGCTGCAGAAGTAAATACGGCTAGCAAACAAAGTGACAAGGTTGATGAAGATGTTGGAGAGCACAATACTAACTCAGAGATTGCAGTTCGACAGGAAGAATCTTCTGCTGGTTGTGCTGGGGTTAAAACTTTTGTAAGGAAAAAAATTACCAAAAAGGAGGCAGTTGGGCAAACTGATCAGAGTGAAGATAATGGTGTTCCCCTTGAGGCAAAAATGGAGATAGAAACGGGTTGCTCTGAAGATAAACCAAAGGATAATTCAGATGCCACTGCTGCAGTCATAGAAAATGTTGGTGTGAAAACAACTGTAAAGAAGAAAATTATTAAGAGGGTGCCTAAAAGAAAGGTTCCTGCTACACAAGCTAAGGATGAATTAGCTGAAATTAAGAAAGATGGTGATGAGGATGAGAAAAAGGTGATTCAAGCTGTAAGTGAGACCTCAAATATAGGTAAGCAAACAGGTTCAGAGAAACAAGGTAATGCTGCAAGTTCAAGTAAATCAGAAATCAAGGCCGACAAGGAGAATAAGAAGGATGAAAAGGTAACTAATGTGGAGTCTCTGATTGACAAGCAAAAGGTTAACACCAAGGATAATTGTGATGTCAAGGGGGGAAAATCAAAAGAGGGGGAAAAGCCAAAAGATGAGAAAGAGGACAAAGATAGTAAAGATGAATCCCAAAGCAATTCTAACAAAGAATCAAAAGATATGAGGAAGTCTGAGGAACCTTGTCCGAGGCATCCTGGATTGGTTCTACAAACAAAGTGGAGCAAGGATTCTAAAGTAAGTTAATCATATCATTGAAGAACGTTGTACACTGGGCTGAACTAAAGTGAAGGAAAATGTTTTTTATGCACAAACTATCTAATATTCCTAGCTAGTACTTGTCTAATTATTCATTCTAATGTTGCAGTTGCGTTCATTGTCACTTTCACTGGATTCACTTTTGGATTATACTGACAAGGACATTGAAGAATCAACATTTGAGGTTAGTTTTCCATTGTTACGTTTCTGCCTTATTATCTAAATTCCTTTAATATTTTCCATCCTATATTTTCATTTATAACTTAATGATATCTGAAGCAATCTTTTAGTTTTTATTCTTACCTTTTCATTTACACCAACTGTATTCCTTTTTTGCAGCTTTCATTATTTGCTGAGATGCTGTATGAAATGCTTCAGTATCAAATGGGTTGCCGTATTTTAACATTTCTCCTGGTTGGTTTATGATGGTTCCTGCTTATTTGCCTTAATTCTCTCTCTGAAGAATTTTCACTGACATTCTTTTTAATGTGTAGAAACTGCGAGTAAGATTTATAACAAAAAGAAATCAGCGTAAGAGGGAACGGGAAGAACTCCGTGAGAAGGAAACTGAGAGAAAGTCACCGACAAAAAGATTGAAAAGCAATGAGCTCACTGTGAAAAATGAAAGTACTAAATCGGACACATCAAGTGCAGCTCAGCAGGAGGGTGAAATGATTGTGACCAAGGAAGAAACTACTGCTGATCTTGTTGAGGAGCCAAAGATAAAAGATGAAATAGACGATGAAGATTTGGAGGAAGATCCTGAAGAATATGAAGAAATGGATGACGCAAGTCCGCAACCCAATTCCTCTAATGAGGTAGGGCTTTCCTCCTCTTTGATCAGGGAGGCTGAAATGATTTTTATCAAACATTATTTTCCCTTATGGGTTTTTGGACTCATCCTTATAATTTTTATGCAGTAGATTTTGTTACTGGCTTGAATTTCAATCATGTTGTTCTATACTATTAATATTTATGTTATTTTTTAGTATGGTTAACTTCCCATTTTATACCTGGATTACTTTGTGGTGATTTGATTTGGCGAATCTATTTTTGTATGGTCAGTGCTGTTATATTCTTATTCATGAAAGATTGTAACTTCATCTTTGACAGAAAAATGAAGAAGAGAAGACAAACACAGATGCTAAGCCTGAAAAGGAGGCTGAGAATGATGAAGCAGGGGAGTCCACCAAAAAGGAAATCACCACAACAGCTTGTAGTTCAGAGTCTGGACCTGTGGGAAATATGTCTGGAAAGAGGGAGCTGAAAGTTGATCCGAAGAAAAAGGTGCATGCTATCAATAAGGATTTGTTGCAGGTATTTGCCAGTTCACTGTTCATTTCCCTTGCCTCAGAGCTTTCCTGTTTGAGTATGCAATTCAGATTTTCTTTCTTCCCTTATTAATGCATGTCTTCTTTATTATAGGCTTTTAGGTTTTTTGACCGGAATCGAGTTGGCTACATAAGGGTGAGATCAAAATCTTTTACTTTGATATGTTCTCTATCGCCAGTGCTAGTGACCACTTATTATTTTCTACAGGTTGAAGATATGAGGTTGATTATTCACAACTTGGGGAAGTTTCTCTCTCATAGGGATGTCAAAGTAAGATACATATGATTCTATGATTCTTTTTGTTGTTTGTCGTAATTCTGCTTTTATGTGGTAGCCTTGTGCCATGGTTAATGATGGTTTTCTTTACTGCATCAGGAACTTGTGCAAAGTGCATTGTTAGAGAGTAACACCGGAAGGGATGATCACATTCTTTACTATAAGCTGGTTCGTATGTCTGACATATGAGAGCTTTTTGGGTCGGATGATCTGTTTTGCATCTAATGACCCATGAGAGGAGTGATTGCTAGGAGTTGAACTGAGTCATGGATGTTTGAATATAGGGTTTTAACTTCTACTATTGAGTTACTATGAGCCTTTTTCCCTTGCTGTATCAAAGAAATAAATAATTGTGCTCTTCGTTTATACAACAGATTGCCTGCTCATGGCATCATCCTTTTAAATTTGAACGGGTAGGTGTCTTTCATCTTGCTTTCTCTCACTGCTTTTGAACGTGGTTTGAGGCTTAGGCTTCATTTGGAACTGGGCCCTTAATGAAGCATTAACATGTCAAAACACCATAAAATGCGCAACTGATTAGCATTACTTGATAATCCTTGTGATTTACTATGAGTATGGCATGTAAGCTTTACTTTATCTTGGTAGTTAAATTACCCGTCTTTGCAAATCAATGTACCCAAATAACAAAATTAACTGTATAGTTTATTGCAACAAAATTGACTGTCAGTAACATCAACCGTGAGGCTTCTTGATCATGGTAACATCAAGGCAGTTATGCAAGATATGCGAGTAAAAGGTGAAAAATAGGAACACAAAAATCCAGAAAGCAGAAAAATAAAAAGAATTATTTGCCGATGGCCTATTTAGCTAATAGCTTTGATCGTGAATGCCAAGCTCAAGAAGAGTCCTCATTGCTTGTTTTTTGACCACTTTGCCATAAAACCCCCTTCCCATCTTCATTGCTCTCTCAAAGTCCACCACACCAGCGCCACCACCACTCTTCTTCAATCCTTCCACAACGACCTTCAGCACTCTCTCATCACTTCCCACAGTTTCTACCACACTGTCCACGACAGACTCCATTACTGGAATCCGCCTGCCCCCCCGTTTCATCGACCTATCTGAACCATACACCTCAGAATAAGCAGCCCAAAACGATGCCCTCAAATAGCCCTTCTCTTTTCCCTTCACCGCCCATCTCTTCATACCTTCCTCCAACCTATAAACTGTACCGCCTACATCTACCCACTTTTCAAGGCCTATCTCAATCTCTCTTAACTCTTTCTTGGAACGCACTGCCTCTTCAAACTTGCATCTTCTACATTTGCAATTAAAACCCCATGACTCGGACGTCTCCACACGCCTGTCCAACGAAGAAAGTGCATCAAAATACATGAATGTGATCTCTTCACCAGCCTTGATGTCTCTAGAAGCATGGACCATGACGTAGTCCCCAACATGCAATCGCCTGGCATTAGGATTACATGAATGGTTGATGAAGGAAGCCAGTAGCCATAACCCAACACCATAAAAATCACTATTTTTCCCCAGTACTTTAGCTGAAACGGCCTCTTCCACAAGAGAATTCACATCCAAGATGCTCAATATCTTATCCATATCAAGCTTCTCCTTTGAACAACTATTTTGCTCAACCTCAGGCCTAAAGAAACTCATATCAGGAACTTCAAGCCCCTCTTCATTTTCACCTGTGGATAACATATTAATCAAAAGCTGTGTTTTTTGGCATTTCGTGACAGCTTCCTTCACTTTATAGACAAAATTCTTCCACATAACAAACTGTGCATTTTCTCCTGAATCTTCACTTCCCAATATACCTCTTTCAATTGCAATTGCCTTAGTGACCAAAACCAAAGTCCCAGCATCAATATTCTTTGTTGCAAACAAGCCACGACCGCTAATTTCAGACCTGTTAACGTGCACTGGACCAATATATTCAGCAAGTTCTGGAGGCTTTCCTCGGAACCCATTAAGAACCCAATCAGAAAGATCAAAACTTCCTGTCCTTGATTGAAACTCAAGTTTTTTACATTTCTCTAAATACCCATTGAGGAGTTCGAGGTTACCATTACCCTGAGGATCAAAAAGAGCTTCTTTGAAGCAGTCCAAAGCATTGGAATATCTGTTCAAACTAAGCAAGATCTTACCTTTGCAAAGTAAAGTCTTGAAATGGGTAGCTTCAATTTGAAGTGCTTGCTCACAGTCTTTAAGTGCTTCAGTGAAATCTTGTAACCTTGATCGTGCGTCAGCCCGATTTGAGAAGGCTAAGCAGAGAGATTTGTGGAGCTTGGAGGGGTAATCTGGGTCTGGGTTGAAATCTTCTTGGGTCTTCAAAATTTGGTTTTGGCAAAGATCGATTAACTGAGAGTAAAGTTGTATAGAGTCTTTCCATTCTTCTCTGAGGAGAAGCTCTGTGGCTTTTGATCGGAGCTGCAGCATTTGCTCTTCAGCTGCGGACATAGCTGACTCTTGTTGTAGCTCCTTTTCTCTTCTTTGTTTGGTAGTGCTTTTTTGCTTGCTGGTTTTAAATTTTGGGGGGTTTCTGTTATAGTAACGGTCATATTGGTCTTTTCGTCTTTGGCCTCTTATCCTATTTTTGAACTTTTTTTTTTAATTTATTTTTTATAATGGATCTCCTTCTTTGATAACAGCAACGGCTATGTCGGGCTTGTTGTCTTTGGTTAGAATTATGTTGCTCAATTTCAATTTAAAACTGTGGGGCATCTCAAAACTATCTACGTATTATGAATTTGATCAATGCCATGCTCCCAAAATTGTGAGCATACCCGTGATGAATTTCTACAATGACCCAAATTCTTGTTAGAGAGCATCATTAAGCAAAATGACGTGAGAAAAGTTATTCACAAACATCACACATCTGATAAACAGTCATTTCTTTACGTAGTTTATCCTCAATACAAGCTAGACCATGCCTTCCACTACGGTAAATAGATGGTAGCTAGGATCTGTTCCTAATGATTCAGTGAGAAACTCGTATGATTGCTTGGTGAAGACGGTGACAATTGAAGGATTAACAGCATTGTGAACAGGTTTCATTCCTGCATGGGCTAGACATGGTCCTTGGCAATCTGTTTTCTGGGTCTCTGGTGAGAAATTCCGGCAAATTGCAAGGCTTTCTTCCTCCGGAACAACGAGCTGATGGGGATTCAGATGCCAGTACACTTGCATGGTAAAATTCAGTTTGTGAATTGCCAGCAAAATGAAAGGGAAAATTTCAGATGCTAGAGTGGCAATTACTTGAATACCAGCATTGACCTTTATAAAACTCAATGTTTAGACATAAGTCCGCTTATTGCTAAACAATTCACGGCTGGTTTTGTAGTGTCCTACTCACCAATCATGCAATGCATTTGATTTCTTTTTTTGACTGTCCGTTTCCTATGTAGTTCCTGATGGCATTTTTCCCATTTACCGGCCCTGTTATAATATGCAGCAGCTAATGATGGCCGTGGGGTCTTCGGGGTTGAAACCTTGGCCCTTGAGGGTAATGCTAAATGGGTTTTCGTTTCTCCATTCTTGCAAAAGGTGTGCATGTGATGGCCTGGCCGAGTTCGTAAGTACAGCCCGGAACCTAGGCAAAGAGCCGAAGACAATGAGATTTAAGCCCAATTTGGGCTTCAGTGATTGTAGTATTCGGACAAGCTGTTCAAAGGCTTTGGCAATCCAAGCTTGATCCACAAGTGTTCTACTCTACCTCTTGCCTTTTAGACTAATTAAAATTATTTTTAAAAAAAATATTTTGATAATGCAGTCCTATTGGGTGTTTGAGTTCTGTTTGCCATTGGAAAGCAAGATTTTGGGGAAGAGCTAATAAAAGTTCTATTCAGTAATGGTAAATATGCTCAAATTAGATATTTATTAAGTTTTGAAACTAAAATTTTTATTCGAAACTTTAATTGAACGAATTATTTGAGTTTGAATGAATCTTTGTAAAGCGTTAGGTTTCAAACTTTAAGTTACATATATTTTCATAAATGTGAGTTTTTCTTTTGATTTGATTTGAAAATTTGAAGATTTTAAATCTTAATCCAAAAGAAATAAAATTTATAAGATAAGAAAAAAGTTTGCTTCCTAACTTCTACTAGATCCAATGATTCTCCTTTATCTACCCAATGAAGAATATCTCAACCACTTAAATTTTGATGCTCTAATTACATTTACACACCACCTTCCAAAATTCAATTCCATCCTTCAAGTTAGCTACCCTATTAGAGACCGTTTGGTACATAAATTGAGTGTGGTGGCAACTTGAATTTGCTCTTGCGGTGAAAATAAATTCACATCACATTAGAATCATGCATCGAATTAGATTTGATAATTTAAAATGTGATACAATAAAACAATACAAATACGTTATGAAAATAAGATATAAATTTTAATAATAATTATATATGAATTTAACAAAATAAAAATTACATTTTATATTTTTATATACATAAACATAAATTATGATATATAAATTTCATGTATAATATAATATAAATATATAAAATTTTATATTTTATATGATATAAATATACGAATCATCAAATCTACACCGAATAAACTCTTAATCTACTAGCTTCCATTGCTGCCTTACCTGGTGTCTCTTTCATCTTGCAAAATACAATCATGCCTCTTTTTGTGTTCGATTTTCTCAAAATGTTTATCATGCAAAAGCGAGTCATAATTGGCCAACCAAGTTGCATTTATAAGGCCTTTGGGGCAAAGAAGAAAGAGTACCATGGAGAGGAGGCAATGGGAAAAGTCTTATTCCATTTACAATTCGTGTCAAAATTGAAGCTATTTTAAATTTATGAAATTTCAACCAATTGCTGTCGAGTCACCGTCAAGCCATTTTTTTTGAAAAGCAGTATCGTTCCCATCATATCTTATCACTTGAGCTTTATATCAGTTGAATTTTTTTCGTATAGAGATTTGAATTCAAAATTTTAAATTGAAGTCTTAAATTTTAACCATTGAATGTCTCTTTGAAAACAACATTTTGATAAAGGAATTATATGGTAGAGATTATAATTTAAAAATAAAAAAAATTATAAATATTTAAATTTAAATTTAAATTTATCTAAAATCACATTTTAAAATAATTATATAAATTAATTAAACTGAACTCTAAATTAAATTATATGTACAATTTCATTTTACAGTTCCAATATATTTGCACAGTTTCAATTGTACCATATATTTTGTCTTGTGCAAGGTGGTGGCCCCGTATCTATAATCAGGTCAATTTTTTTTAGGTAGGACTTAACTCCAGTGATTTATTACAATTAGCGTAGCCAAATTAAATTTGAATACTATTTCATGGACCCCGAGTTTGGTAAAAATTAAAATCTCTCATAGTAAATTATTTTAAATAATTTGAGCAATTATGGAGATGTGAAGACTCTTTAAGGTCTCATAATTTTATTTAACAAAAAATATGTAGAGTTTCATAATTAATTTGTAAGATATTATTTATTTTAATTCGAAAATTTTAAATAGATATTAAAATTTTAGAGGTAATTCTTATCAGTAACATTTAGTTTTTATCCGACTAATAAGCCATTTGATAATATTTGTGAAGATCGATTAGTAATCGTTTTGATATTATTTATGAAAATTTACATTCAACTTATGAAATATTATCCGTTTTAATTTAAAAATTTTATAATTTTATCACATAAAAAATATCTTATAAATTTGAATTTAAATCTTTGTTTATATATCATAATAGATACTTAAAACATTTCGATATGAGATCGATATGTCATAAAATATTTCATAATATAAATATAAATATAAACTTAAATCTTTATATATATATCATCATAATTTATGAATATATATAAGATTTAGTGTTTCAAAAAATTTCAAAAACCGGATTATTCATCCAAGTTTGTAGCCTAATGTTGGTCGTAATTGGCTTCAAAATTTTAAGATAGAGCCGATTCTTATCCAAATTAAATCTATTATTTAAGTAATAATAAATATTTTTATTTATAAAATATAATGCTCAAGTTTTCATTGGGTTCCAATTTCAGTATGATCCCGACGCCTCATTTAGTCCGTACAGCTCCCAAAAAAATTGGATTTTATAGCCTATTCACATGCTACTGGAAGGGAACCAACAGTGTATGATTGAGTACTTTTTTGTTAGTATTAATTATAATGTCACTTTCACAGTCCCACCTTTTGATTTTTATAAAACTTGTCATTCACCATTGTCCATTCTCTGTAAATTTTCTTTCATATTTGAAAGTGACACCTCAAGCTCTCGTCTCACTACTGCAGGCTATTCCATGTGCAGCAATGTATAGACCACAAAACAATTGCTTATTATCGATTGTTGTTCCTGGTACGAGGCTTAATCCATACAAATCTACTTTATACCAGTCATGCTATTTGTCTCATAAATTTTGTTACATATTTTTATTTCCTAAAATGATAATAACTTAAATTCCAAAAAAAAATCCATCAATTTATGTTTAAATCAACTTATTAATAAATGAGATATTATACTTAAATGGATAAATTATTATCACATCAAAAGACAAAAGTTATAGGATAAATAGTATTTTTTATTTTATATTCACGTTAAAAAATTTTGAGGATGTGCAATAAGATATAAATAAAAATAAAAATTTAATTTGTGAGATATTTTTTATTAAATAAAATTATAAAATTTTTAAATTAAAATGAATAATATTTTGTAAATTAAGTATAAGTTTTTACAATATCATTTAAGAGTTTAAATTTGAAATTTTTTTACATTAATTATTTATTAATAAGATGACTTTGTAAGTATTTGATAGTGTATTGAATTTAGAGAAATTGTACATTGACAAAGCATAAAAATTTAATATTTTTTTTTTACTTAAAATTGTTAGAATTTAAATTAAAATCACTAACACTTTACCAACGGTTCATGAATTTGTTGGCAGAAGGGAGAAATTGTTTTTATTAGAAAAATGAAGTTCAAAGATGCGATCTTTTTAAGGAAAACATGTCGTTTTGTTGTTCACCTACCACCTGCAGATCAACGGCAAATTATCTATTAGTTTTATTCCTAACAATTGTAAGCCTTAATTGTGTCAAACAAATTATATATTTAATCTTCAGGACCACTAATTTCACCAAACAAATAGCAACGATTTTAATTTGAGGAAGACTCGATATTGATCATCGTGTTTATGGCACGACCTATCCAAATATATCTGGTATTAATTTTGCTATCTCATCTTCACAGTAATTCCACTATTTCAGTTTAAATAATATAACTTATTATCTCTCACAATTCATGCATGGCTAAGCCATCCATTTTGGTCAATTAAACTTACTCTTTCACTTTCTCCCTAGCCTAAAAACAAAACCTTGGTTCTCTTGAAGATTGGTATATGGGTCGCTCTACATGTTATGAAAAGGAGGGGTTGAAGAGAGGACCGTGGACTCCTGAAGAAGACCAAAGGCTCACTGTTTATATTCAACAACATGGCCATGGCAGCTGGAATGCTTTGCCTGAGAAAGCAGGTGAATTATATGAACCTTTTTTTTTCCCATCACCAGCCTGCTTTGAGTATGACATTTGTCCTTTTCTTTGTGGTTTACTCTGTTAAATGCGTTTTATGATCAGCCAAAACTAGATAGATCAACGTTCAGAATAGTATATTGACATCCGGTCGATTAAAGAAAACTCAGAACATAAAACACGATTGAAGGTAATACAGGAAGATCTAGCTGCAACAAATCCAAACGGGAGATGTCTAACAAAACTGAAGTACTAATGATACCCTAATCCCTCGTTGGAATTTTCCGAGGTCTATGATATATGTAGCGAATAATATCTCGCGGGTTTTTTCACGAAACTAAATTGACAACTAACCACCGGGGCATGAACAATTTTCCTTTCCTTTTGTCCAAAATTGTCAAGAGAATCTGCAAAAAAACAATTGTTTTACCTCAATTGAATTCAAATATTTGTAATGGAAGACCAAAATTGTGGAAAAAAGTCACTTTTTTTTAGCCATTTAGTTACTGATTTATATGCATGGTTCCTTACTTGATTTGTTTAGGATTAAAGAGATGTGGTAAGAGCTGTAGACTGAGGTGGATCAACTACTTACGACCTGATATCAAGAGAGGAAACTTCAGCTTGCAGGAAGAACAGACCATCATTCAACTACATGCTTTTCTTGGGAACAGGTGAAGAATCCGTCTCTTGAAGTAATTATACTTTCTTTTAGAGCAGTTCATGGATTTTGTGCTAAAGAAAAACAGATGAACGTACGTTGAAACTGGAAACACCCCAATGCCCATACTATACCTTAAATCAAATTAAGATTGAACCGCTGCTTAATTTAATTTCTTTTTCTCGATGTCAATTAATTTAGATGGTCAGCTATAGCAGCTCACTTGCCAAAGAGAACTGATAACGAGGTCAAGAACCATTGGAACACCCATCTCAAGAAGAGGTTAATCAAGATGGGCATTGATCCTGTGACCCATAAGCCTCGAATCGACGCTCTTGGCTCTCCATATGGTCATGCCAGCAACGACTCCAATTTAAGCCACATGGCTCAGTGGGAAAGGGCTCGCCTTGAGGCTGAAGCGAGGTCTGCACGCGATTCAAATAAACAAGCAGTGCGAAATCCTGTCCAAGTAAATCCAAAAATCCAGCTCGGGGCTGTTCCCCCACCTCTAACACCAAGACCAAAGTGCCTCGACGTACTTAAAGCATGGCAAGGTGTAGTTAGCGGCATGTTTAACTTTCCTAACCGTGACAATCTCGAGTCTCCTACATCAATATCCAGCTTTTCTAATGACGTGATTCAACTTCCAACAACTGGAGTAAATCAAAATGCTACTGCCGAAGGTGTGGATTGCATTGCAACGAATACTGATTCATATACATGCAATGAATTGGATGAAATAGATAGTTGGAAACGTTTTGTTAACCTCAATCAAATGCAAGAATTCGAAGTCGGGTTGGATGAGTCTACGTCGATGGCAATGCAAGGGACGACGTACTCAACAGAAAATAATGCATGGTTGGTGGACTCTTATGGGGAAGCTGGAAACAGTAATGAAGTTATGGAGGGTTCATCATCATCAGATACTTTGATTGGTATCCCAGTTTCATTTTCATCAATGAAAGTAGAGATATCAAATGGAAACTACAGCATAGTGGACAATGGGAGCTACAGTGTCTGTGACTGGGATAGCACACTCAAGTTCAAGAATGCTTCATCGTCTGGTTCCCCCATGTTCTGACTTCTGATATTGGGATAAGAAATGGTCAAGGAAAAAGTTTTTGGACCTCAGTGGAATATGACCATTTTTGGATAAAAAGTCGATAGATCTCTCTTCCAAATCTGATAATTCATATTTTTGGACCTTAGTGGAATAATGAATCGGCATCATATAAAATAAGTTTAGATTTTAACCCAACTTTTATTGAGAGATATTGTTCGTTTTGATTTGAAAGTTTCACGATTTTATTTTACAAAAATATTTCAAAAATTTAAAATTAAATATCAACTTATATATTATAATAGATTCTTAAAATATCCCAACATAAGATTAGATGTCAAATTAGTAACTTGTAAAAATCTTTTTAATATTATATTTTAAAATTATAAAATCTGTTAAAAAATCGATTTATTATAAACCTAATTAAGTTATTTAAATTGAATAAAGGTTTAGATAATTTATCATGGTTTCAGTACCCTTGTTAGGTAAGGTAAACAACTTACAGCTACTTTAATTTAAAGGAAAATGTAAGAGGGCAATTATATTGAAAATATTTTAATTTAATGATTATTTTTCACGTGTATGAAAAGACAAAATATAGAATACATATTACACTATACATTAGGAGAGCTAAACAATGATGGGTTCTATGGTTTTTTTTTTTTTTAATTTAAAATTGAATTTATTGTTAATAGGAAAGAGTTACAAAAATATAACGACTGAATCATAATTCTGATAAACTCCCAAATTAACAATGGAGTTGGCAAAATGATTGGCTTCCATAAAAACACTAAAAACTTTGTTCATACCAATATATAAATTGTATAGCTTGTATCATAATAGTTTTTTAGGGACCGGGACGTTTAAGATTTTAATTTTGAGGAAAATAAGGACAGTTATCATTAATCTTTTTTAATGTGTGATTGACAATCTAAAAGTTTATCTTTTTAATAAAATTATAAAAACGGATTTAAAATTTATTAAAAAGATAATTGTCGGTCTATAAAAAACAAGATGGGCATCGGTAGTCGATTACGTGTGAGAAAAGATTAGCACCACACAGCTCCCATAAATTAGTATCAATTAGTCATGGGTTATTTTTTGTATTGGATAAAATGGTTTCAATTTGAAATTTAATAATAATTTTCTTCATTTTTAAAAAAAAGTAATTTTATTAAAGTTTATTATTTAAGAATATTAAGACAATCTTTAAGTTAAATAATTACTTTAAAATTTTTCAACATCTAAGCAGAATTAAAAAAAACTCTTTTCGCTTAAGATTTATTAAGATATTTCTTAAAATAAAAATAACACTATTTGTAGAAGATTATTGGTGACTCTCCAACATCAAGACAGAGTACCAAGAATTATATCCTTTAGAATGTTATTTTTTTTATTTTAAAATTTTACATTTTTAAACTACATTTAAAAAAAATATTTTTGTGCGAAAAAACTAATGATGGTATAATTAGTTAGCAAACAATAATTAAAGGTGTGAACTTGTGAAACAAGTACAAACAATAATGAATAGATGCATGTATGCTAATGGATGTTATACAAGCTGATGAAATGCAATTTTAAAATCGAGTTCTTAAATATAATGAGACCACCTTAACTCCTAAACATCTAGGTAGAGTTTATTTGTGACTATTTATATTTAAGATCCAATTATATATATTTTATTTGCATCTCATTATTATCATAAGTTAAGGACTCATGCGAAAAACTTAATGAAATAAGGTTTCCTAAACACCCCATCTTCTAGGTGGTATTTGGAAACAAATTACTTCACGTGATATTTTCACACATATCTTTAGAATTTTAGAATGGTCTTAGGTAAAGCTTAGGTCGAAGTTTTAAAGTTTGAATGATTTTTGTGTGATGATTCGAGGTTACATGCCAAATTTAGGGTTTAAGTTATGGATTTTAAGGTTTTGAAATTTTAAGGTCTTGGGGGTCTATGGTTTTAGGATTTAGGGTTTTGAATTACGGTTTTAGAGTTTTGGATTTTTAGTTTTATGGTTTCAAATTTTGGGGTTTCGAAGTTTAGGGTTTGAAGGTTAAAGGGTATCAAAATTTATGGTTTCAGGTTTTAAGGGTTTAAGGTTTGAAGGTTTTGAATTTTACAATTTCGAAGTTTTGAGCATTTAGGATTTTTCAACGAAAATAAAGATCTCTAAAAATCTTCAACATCTAGGCAAACTTTCGAAATAAGTTCAATTTTTATGCTTTTGAAAAAATTTCTTTCAAGTATTTCCTTTTTTATAAAAATTCATTATTGTTATTACCAACTATTTGTTTTTATTATTACTTAATAATTCTCCAACATTTAGACGAAATTATTTATTATTAGTTTTAATTTTTAATTTTATCATCTTTTAATTTATTATTATTATTATTATTTAGTTATTGTTTTTTTTTATAATTTTATAAGGTTTATTTTAAGTTTTTTTTTATTTGAATGAAATTTAAAACCATCAAGGTTTAGATTTTATTTATCATGTTTATTATTACTTACTATTATCATTAATATTACAAAAACACTAAACATTTACTGTAACAAAAAATTAAACATGCTTAACTAATAATAACAATTAAAAATAATATATAAAAAACCAAAAAATAATTTTGTTTACTTAAATTAGATTGGTCAACGGTTTGATCAACGTCGGTTCAATTGGACCAGTTGGGGGTAGTTCAGGCTAAGCGGTTTAGTTGAATAAGTTAAGGGTTGGCTAAAAGATATGGTTGCTAGGTTAGGTTGTGCAGATCCTGAGTAGGATTTAGGTTCACGCGTGGATCTTTTTTTGCTTAAAATGGCGTCATTTTAATGTTTTTCTCCTTATATAAAGCTTATTTTTTTATCCTATTTCTTTTTCTACTTAAAAAAAAAACTCTTTATTCTCTTTAAAACAAAAACCCAAAGGCCAAAAATTGGCTAGGCTCTGCCATGTCGGTCGCTGTGCTGGTTGTCTTGCTGATGGTTACTGGCGGTCAAAAAGTCTTAAAAAGCAAAAAAAAAAAAAAACTTATGTTCTCTTCTTTTTCGATTTAAACTTCTTTTAACAAAAAATCCTCTTAATTTTCCTGAATTGGATCTTTAAGTTTCAATCAAAAACTTTTTTTTTTGTTGGTTTTGATTTGATTTTTTTTAAGTTGGCATTGAGGTTCTTCACCGACAAAGACTGTGATTGATTTTTTTGTGGCTTTCGGGTAAGTTTTTGGTGGGGTGTCTGGAGTTCTTGCAAGGGGCTATAGTGAAGGTTGGTGGTGTATAGGTATGGGTTGGGTTTGGTGTGTACGATGTTAAGAGGCACGGGGTGGGTATGCTGGAATTAGGTTGTGGGTGCATGAGGCTTGGACAAGGTGACTGGTAAAAAAGCTAGGTGTTGGGGGTCTTTGGGAATTTTGGGAACTAGAGATGATGAAGATATGGGTGTTATAGATGTCTGGGCTTGTGTGTGGAAGTTGGGATATGTGGAAGAAGCTTAAGAGGTTGTTGGGTGCTGAAAGCTCTGTTTAGTGTGTGTACTGAGTAAAACGTTAGGGCTTTAAGACTGGGGTTCTCTCTCTGTGTTACATTTATAGAGCTCTACTTATAGAGCTCCTGCCATAACTTTCATTGCCAAGTGATGGTGACAGGTATGGCTACGTCTGGAGGTAGGAGTTTGGCAGGGTAAAGTCGATGACTTTGGGTGGTTTGGGGTATGTACAAGGTGTAGGGGCTCTGGGTATGGGTGCCAGTGGCTAGGGGTGTAATTGATCGAGTTCGAGTCGATACAATACTAAGCTCGAGCTCGACTCTAAATTCGATGCTTGAAGCTCGGTTCGAATTTGATCGAGTTTTATTTTTTTAGTTTGAGCTTGACTTAAGATAGAAATCCAGTTACTCGAGCTCACTCGATTAGGGTCAATTAATATGTAAAAATAAGCCTAATTCTTATATTTGATAAAAGCTCGATTATTTGTGCTCGAGCTCGAACTCGAGTTTGAGACATTTTATTAATTAAAATAATTAAAATATAAAAACTTGATTATGCTTGCAAATAACTTAAGCTGGGTATAACAATGCTTAAACTTGACTCGATTGATAAGTCAAGTTACTCAAGCTCGAGCTCGAGCTCAATTTGATAATAATTGAGTCGAATTTGAGTTTTATTCAAATCGAACCTGAATAACTTACGAGCACTAATGTGTCATTTACACATTTACCAATGGCTATAGGGTAGGGGAATGGGTTGGCTTAGGGTCTCAAGGTGCATGGTGCCAGTGCATGGGCAGGTGGATAAGTTGGTGCCAAGCATGGCACCATGCATAAACTAGTCCCTTCTTTTTTATTATTATACTTAATATCTAATTATTAATGAAATTAAACAAAATAAATAAATAAATAAATAAAAGGGTTTAGCCTAGAGAAATAAGACAAAATTCGATGTCTATAGCTATCCCTTTTTACATATTTCTAAGAATTAAGAATAGGGTAAAGACAAAGGCAACGATTTTGTTCAAAGTCAATTTTTTTTTTGTTTTTAACATTTTTTCATTTTTTCTCTTTTGTTTTTTTTTTTTTTGTCATTTATTTTTTTTTAAAGGCATGTGACGCTAAAGATGATCTGAATTGATGTGGGTTGACAATATAATGATCAAAATTGAATTGTGAGTTTGACAATAAAGATGACTGAGATTGAATCGCAAGTCAAAGAATAAAGATGACTGAGATTGAATCGCAAGTTAGGAAATTAAAATGATCGAGATTGAATTACGAGTCAAAGAATAAATATAACTGGGATTGAGTCACAAGTCAAAGAATAAAGATGATTGAGATTGAACCACAAGTCAGAGAATAAAAATGACTGAGATTAAACCATAAGTAGTAAGTCAGAGAATAAAGATGACTGAAACTGAGCTGTAAGTCAGAAAAAAAAGATGACTAGGATTGAATCGTAAGTTGAAGGATAAAGATGATTGAGACTGAGCCATGAGTCAAAGAATAAAGATGACTGAGATTGAATTGCAAGTCA